ATTGAACAATTCTTCCCCTCTTGCAGAGACTTTTTTTATTTGGTTTGTTTATTTAAAGCCAGTTATGTAATAAGGTGATGCAACGTATTTCAAGACGGTTGTGTGTTATAATCTCGTTGTTAACAGATAATGATTAGCACAGCTAGTTAGTTCAGCTTCCATTCTCAAACACCACGTAATGTGACCAGACCATTTAAACTGATTAATATTTACAGGCTGCTGAGCTCTTAATCGGTTCTAGTTTCCAAACGTTTTCTGGTAGTTCACACCGCAGGGAATTTGAAGCTACCGCAACCCCTCAAATAAATAGATTTTAAGTTGTGTCAGGTTAAATTTTTATGCTTGCTTTAAAAATCAATTGTGCATTACAAAAATGTATTAAATCAAAAAATTTAACAGTTTTGACAGTAAAAATAAAATGTTAGTGTGATCATAAAAACTTACTTTGTCGGCCGGTAATCGGAAGGTTGCAGGTTTGAGCCCCGCTTAGTCTGTCTCCATCGTTGTGTCCTTGGGCAAGACACTTACCGTAATTTCCGGACTATAGAGCGCACCTCAATATAAGCCGCACCAACAAAAAAAAAAAAGGTTTTCTACACACACACACACGTCGCACTCAATACAAGCCGCGGCGCAGCAGCCACATGCAGGTCTCCGGCGCACAGCGCATGTATGGCCATAACATCAGATAATTAGACAGAACGACGCTACACGGAGGTTTTTCGTTGTTGTTTTAATTCAACTAAACAAATTTTAAACACGGGTGAACGTGCCTGCAAGTTTAGAAAAGAAAACAGCACTGATAGCATTCATATTTCTGGATGGTTATAAAATAAAAACAGAACTGACACGTTATTACCGGTAATTTGCTTGTTTAGAAGAAAAGAACAGCGCTGACACAGCATCAATAAGCCCTGGATGATTAGAAAATAAAAACTGCACACAAAACATGGCTGGTTAGTAAATAAAACACACTTGCCTACCAGAAGAAGTCATTCGCTCTCATCTTCCTCTTGCGCACTAAAGCCATTAAAGTCCTCTTCTTCAGTGTCGGAGTTGAACGGCCTCAGAAGAGCTTCGTCACATACCTTTTCTGTGGCGATGTCAGTGTCGCTGTCCGTGTTGCTGTCATCATCCCCGAGTGAAGCTGGCTTGAATGAGTTCTTCCCGCTGCCGTCTCCAGCGCCGAACCATGGATTCATTCATGCCAAGCTTACGTGCAGCAGCACTGTTTCCCTCCTTTACTGCCAGATCGATGGCCTTCAACTTAAATGCGGCATCATTATGAACTCATACATGTAGTTACCATGATGAGGGGGTATGGATTTGAAAAACATTCTTCGTCGTGCCGGCTTCTTGCGTGTGCTAAATTAAAATGAGCACTTTCTTCCATTTCCACTTTTGACTTCCACCTGTTTCACTTTCTGCTAAAGCGCCCCCTGCAGGTGAAGGAAAATCTTCAGTAAAGCCGCACCTCATTATAAGCCGCACGGTTCAAAGCGTGGGGAAAAAGTAGCGGCTTATAGTCCGGAAAATACGGTAACCCACGCTGCCTGCTGGTGGTGGTCTGAGGGACCGGTGGCGCCAGTGCTCGGCAGCCTCGCCTCCCAGGGCAGCTGCGGCCACAATGTATCTCATCCCCACCAGTGTGTGAATGTGTGTGTGAATGGGTGAATGATTGGTTGTATTGTAAAGTGTCTTGGGGGTTCCAGGGCTCTAGAAGGCACTATATCAAATACAAGCAATTTACTTAATGTATAACCCTTACAGCACATTTTGGTAAGGGGTTGTAGTAAACTTTTATCTTCTCAAAAGAGACACATTCACAGAATAGTCAGGTTACTAACACCTTTTCTTTTGCCATGGAAACTTTTCAGGTTGCCTGCATGCAGTTCATTAACATTGTGGTGCACTCAGTGGAGGACATGAACTTCAGAGTCCATCTGCAATATGACTTCACCAAGCTTAACCTGGAGGATCACCTGGAGGTAACAACTAATCATAGCCAGTGTCATGACCTCTGACCTTCATTTGACTCATGTGTAGGTGTAGGCCCCTTTGTACAGGTATTTAAATCTTACCAACAGGGGTGGACTGGGATGACAATTCAGTCAGACAATCCATCAACTCTGATCCAGATGACTTTTATCCAGGTGAACCTTGCCTAGGCTTCAACACAAGCTAAGGGAACACAATGAATAGCAAAAACAAGTGGAGAATTTCACCCAAAAAAGTAAATAACAGAGTTGAGTAGGAGGTGAAGGAAATAAAAAGCAGAATTTCACGTTAGACAAACAGAGTTGGAAATAAAATAAAAAAACATATGCTACTTAACTTGATGGAGGAAATTGGACAACTAATGAACTTTGTTAAAGAAAACACAATTAGTGGATCGCAAAAGCAAATAAGGAGCAGTAAATAAGGGAGACAGGGAAATACAGAATTGACAGAAACAGCCAGTTCTTGGAGTAAAAATTTACAAAAATTCAATTCAATTGAAGTTTATTTCTATAGCTGCAAATCGGGACCAGAGTCGTCTCAAGGACCTTCACAAAGTGAACATTCCAATACAGGTCGCTTCATTAAGCCAATCAGTAAAAGGTTTCCAATATAAGGAACCCAGCAGGTCGCATCGAGTCACTGACTAGTGTCAGAGTACAGCAATCCTCATACTAAGCAAGCATGCAATGACAGTGGAGAGGAAATGTAGGAAAAGTAATTAATTACTGTAATGTATTGCTTTTTTGCTGTAATGCAGTAATGTAAGGCATTACAAGAAGAAAGTTGGCCAGTTTTTACTCAGTACAAATATCAGTAATGCGCTTTTCAATTAACTTTTTTACCCAGAATAAAAATGTGGGTTTTCATCAGGGTTCTATATACAGGAGAGTCAGAAAAAAGGTCCAGTTTCCACCTCCATCCGTCCATCAATATTTCTTCCACTTATCCGAAGTTGGGTCACAGCGGCAGCAGCCTAAGTCGAGAGGCCCAGACTCTCCTCTCCCCAGCCACTTTGACTAGCTTTTCTGGGGAATCCCAAGGCATTCCCTGGCCAGGTGAGAGACATAGTTCCTTCAACGTGTCTTGGGTCTCCCATTAGGTCTCCTCCCGGTTGGACGTGCCCAGAAAACCTCACCAGGGAGGCATCCAGGAGGCATCCTGACCAGATGCCCGAGCCACCTCAACTGGCTCCTCTCGATGTGGAGGAGCAGCGGGTCTACTCTGGTCCCCTCCCGGATAGCCAAGTTTCTCACCCTATCTCTAAGGGAGAGTCCAGCCACTCTGCGGAGAAAACGTATTCCGGCCACTTATATCCGCAATCTCGTTCTTTCAGTCACTACCCAAAGCTTGTGGCCATAGGCAAGGGTAGGAACGTAGATTGACCAGTAAATTGAGAGCTTCACCTTCTGGCTCAGCTCTCTCTTCATCACGGTAGACCAGTACAATGCCCACATCACTGCAGACGCAGCACCAATCGACCTCGCACTCCAGCTTTCCGACACTCATGAACAAGACCCTGAGATACTTCAACTCCTCCACTTGGGGCAGGACCTCGTCCCTGACCCGGAGAAGGCATTCTACCCTTTTCCGAATCAAGACCATGGTCTCAGATTTAGAGGAGCTGATTATCATCCCAGGTGCTTCACACTCGGCTGCGAACCGCTCCAGCAAAAGCCAAAGATCACGTTCTGATGAAGCCAACAGGACCACATCATCTGCAAAAAGCAGATCCCCAATCCTCAGGCCACCAAAATGGATGCCCTCAACACCTTGGCTGCTCCTAGAAATCTTGTCTATAAAAGTAATGAACAGAATCGGTGACAAAGGGCAGCCTTGGTGGTGTCCAACTGTCACTGGGAACGAGATCGACTTACTGCCACCAATGTGGACCAAGCTCTGACACCGGTCCTACAGGGACCTAACAGCCCTTATCAGAGGGCCTGGTACCCCATACTCCCGGAGTACCCCCCACAGAGCCCCCTGAGGAACACGGTCAAACGCTTTTTCCAAATCCACAAAACACATGAAGATTGGTTGGCTGAATTCCCACGCACCCTCCTGGATCCCCCTAAGGGTATAGAGCTGGTCCCGTGTTCCACAGCCAGGACAAAAACCACATTGCTCCTCTTGAATCAGAGGTTTGACAATACAATGGACCCTCCTCTCCAGAACCCCTGAATAGACCATACCATGGAGGCTCAGAAGTGTGATCCCCTGTAGTAGGACCACACCCAACGATCCCCCTTTTTAAATGGGGGAAAACCACCCCGGTCGGCCAGGCCAGTGGAACTGCCCCCGATGTCCACGCAATATTGCAGAGCCGCGTCAGCCACACAACCCCACAACATCCAGAGCCTTGAGAAACTCCGGACGGATCTCATCCACCCCTGTAGCCTTGCCACAGAGGAGCTTTGTAACCACCTCAGTGACCTCAGCACCAGAGATTTAAGAGCCCAACTCAAAGTCACCAGACTCTGCTTCCTCATTGAAACCGGTGGGATTGAGGAGGTCTTCAAAGTATTCTGCCCACCAATCCACAACGTCCCAAGTAGAGGTCAGCAGCACACCGTCCCCACTATAAACAGTGTTGGTAGCGCACTGCTTTCTCCTCCTGAGGCGCTGGATGGTGGACCAGAATCTCCTTGAAGCCGTACAGAAGACTTTATCCATTTTCCACCTATATTATATTATTTCTATGGGCTCTCAACGCACCAGCACTTTTTTTGAGCAGAGAGCAGCAGAGTGGTGATCATGTGGTGAACCACAAAGTCACACCACCAAAAATAAAAAATGTCCAGTCATATTCTCTGGTACTTTTTCTCTTATTTGTGCCTGACGCGCTTTGCCTGAGTGGAGCTCAGAATCTGTGTGCCAGTGCTTACACCTCACTGCTGCAGGCATGCAGTGCATATTTTGTGACTTTTGTGAGGGGTAGATCCTCGAAATGCTTAGTTCAAAAGTGGGTCATGATGTGGAAAAAGTGGGAAATCCAGGCAGCAGTTTGTCTGGAGAATTGAGAGGAGACAGATTGCTTTAAAATGAGTGTAAAAAGAAATAAAAAGTACATTACAGTTGTTTAATAACTTGCCCAGTACTGGAAATGGTAGCATGAAGAAAATTTACTGAGGAAGAGCAGGATGAACAGGAGATCACACAAAAGCCAGCCTGAACAAATTAGTTTTTATCGTCTTTTTATAGGAGACCCCCAAGTCCTTCAATCTCAGTGGGAGAGTTCCAGAGTCTGGGGGCCACCACAGAAAATTATCTGTCACCTTTGGATTTTAAACTGGTGCGCTGCACAACCAGTAGGCTTTACTCACTGAACTGAATTGATAGGCTTAATGAACTGAACTGTATTGGAATGTTTACTTTGGAAGTGTCTTGAGATGGCTCTTGTCATGATTTGGCGTTATAGACACAATATAAACTAGAATTGCAAGCAGTTATTAACGGGTTCCAAGCATCGACATATACGTGTATATGGACAATGGGTTTCCATAGGCTCCAAAACACGTTTTTGAAGAAAAATGGGAGGTGGCCACCACCGCCATTTTGACCGTGTCACAGGATCCGTCAAGCCCAGACAATTCCACAAAAGGGAAGAGAGGTGGAGCTGAGGGTGGGGCTGTAAGGCTGGGATCAACTGACGACACCCGGTCGAACTAGCTACAAGCTAACCTGAAGCTAACCCAAAGCTAACACGGAGGTGGGAGCTAAGCTAACGGAGGTAGCAACCTAGCTACAACCGGAGTTAACTGTGCACAACACCAGAGCTTCTGAGTCAGAGATACGCCGGGCTGACCGCTGGGTAAAACTGGGTGGAACACAGAGGTCTCCAGAGAGCTCCACAAGCCGGCAGCCGCACAGCAGCCAAGCGCCGCTGCGATCTGAGATGCGCAGAGCTGCCGCTGGGGGGAACCGGGTGGAAAGGTTTCCATCCCAGAGCTCCACAAGCCGGCAGCCTGCACAGCAGATAGAAGCCGCGATCAGACAGAGATGCGCCGAGCTGCGGGGAGGGGAGAAACGGGTGGAAAACATTGGTTTCCCGAGAGCTCCACAAGCCGATAGTCGGAACCCAGCTCCAACAACATGTTATATTTCAACCCATTTTCTAAAGTGCAGCATTATGTTAAATGCACTGGGTTTTACCCTATTACATTTAAATTTCATGGTTAAACAGTACATGTTAAAATCTAAGCTCAGCTCGGCAGTGACCTAAAATACATAAATATAATTTTACTTACCGAAAAAAATGAAGTGGAGACTCCTTGGACGCTCTATTATTGCAATTAATGCCACAGCAAGTCATTTTGTCCAACAATTGCACACATAATATCCAAAAAAGAATGCACAAATGGCACAGCTAATGGTCTAAGTTGAGAGACTGAAAATGACGGACCAGTTTTCAGGCGAGGTCGAGGCTCTACTGAGGCCTTTCCACAGAGCTAGCTCTGTGGTCATGTGGGTCTGATGCTCATTAATTATACAGAATTTTAGGCTTTTAATACACTTAAACAGAAGAATGAGAAAAAACTTCACCCCTCAGAGTTGTCATGAGTGTAAACTAGATCATTTAAAACAAAAACATGTTTTGGTACCAGGCTGTAAACATGTTTATTTCTGCTGTGAAATTGGTATTTTTAACATGGGAGTCAATGAGATTTGCTCGCTTCTGACACCAGTCCCCAGCTGATGAGGGTGGAACTGCAATTTATTTGTCTTCCGTATTGCACTCAATTTCTGTCCCGCATTGTGGGGGATTGGTTCCAAGCCAACCAGTGCAAGTTCCCCACCCGGCCCTGCCCCCACCATCGCCATTCCTTATCTGGCCCTGCCCCAACAACACGTTCTCCTGCTGGCATCCCGTCAGCTCACTTCAACCTGCACAATGAAAAAAACACTCAGGATAACTCACTGAACCTTTTGCACAGCCTAGACGAAAATCTTTCATATGCATGGTTAACATCTCAATCCACATTGCAATCCAGTTCCATCATTTAATTTTTAAAGATCGTGGAGATTTCGTCAGTTAAGTCATGTGCTGTTAAGTCATGGGACAGTAGCTCAGGAGGTGGAGAGCGTTTTTCCAGTAATCAGAAGGTTGCATCATGTTCGATCCCGACTCTGACCAGAGAATGCTGTCTCGCCTCCCCAGAGCAGCTGTGGCTACATTGTAGCCCATTCCCACTTGTGTGTGAATGTGTGTGAAAGTGTGTGAATGTGTGTGAATGACTGATTGTGTTATAAAGCGCCTTGAGGGGTTCTAGGACTCTAGAAGGCGCTTTATCAAATACAGGCAATTTACTAATTATTCACAATTTCAAGCTGTAATTACATCTAAATAATTTAATTAAAATATAATTCACCTCGCTCAGAGTTGTCATAATGCTAGACTAGACTTATTAAACCCAAAATGTTTTTTGAACCAGGCCGTAAACATGTTCATTTCTGCTGTGAACTTGGCTTGCTCATTTCTGGAAATAGCCTCTAGTGGATGAAGGGGGAACTGCATTTTTTATTACTTGATGAGAATGGAGACCCTTTTTTTTATCGTCATTCACTCATGTTTTCGGAAGTTGTGAACTGATCAGAATGTTTTTTTTCCTGTCTCCTAAACCACCTTGTTTCATCTATATTCTTACAGAGATTAAAGCACACAGAGAGTGACAGACTCCAAGTTCAGATCCAGGCATATTTGGACAATGTGTTTGATGTTGGAACACTACTGGAGGATGCCGAGACAAAAACTGCTGCTCTGGAGAGAGTTGAAGAGCTGGAAGAGAGTCTGAACACAGTAAGACTCTCGGCAAAAACACATACAGTTTGTGGTCTCATCAAATGATTAAATATCAACAGGAACAGACACGACTTCACAGTGATTCATATGATACACGGCATGTAATACAGCTGACGGAAGGCTACGGTTAACAGCTTAGTCTGCAATATGGAAGATACACATAGGGATAGGTACCGAGTTTGTTACTTTTTTAGGTACCAGCCGAATCCTGTGGTCTCTACCGAAAACCAATTTACGTGATATGAAACAGTGCCTTGTTTTGGTACCTGTTCTTCCGTGACAAGAACTTTCAAGACAGCGATTGGCCAAGATAGACAGCAGTGCATTCGCAAGAGCGTAATGTCGTCAGTCACTGTGGGCAAACTGTAAACAGCGCAAACAGCATGACAGAGAGAAAGTGCTCTAAAATTTGGGTCCACTTCACTTAATGTAATGGTGTGTTTGACTTTTCCTTATTGGAAGACAGAAATTCCGACTTCCAATAAGGAAAAGTCAACTGTTTGAAAAAGAACGGCAGAAGGAATGAAGATACATTCCTTTTGTAAATTTAGTTCACAGCAAATATGTTTGCTTCAGTTTAATTTGCAGTTTATACAACTAAAAGGACCCGCCCACCACACAATTTGTCCAGAGGTGAAATGAGAGGAACAGAGACATGGAGCTGGCTTTTAGTCTGTGAAACCCCACAGTATTAAAATACAAACAATAATATGGTATCAAAGTTTGTTTTAGTTTAATTTGAAGTTTATAATACATGGTCTCCTCATGAGTGTTATTCCAGAGGACATAGAAGAGAAATAGGAGTACATGGAGTTTGGTATAATTTTTGCATCATTTAGAAACAGTTGTGGTTAAAGGTTTTCAGGTTAAAGGTGTTGAAGAATTTTGATCAACACTACAATGATAAAATACAAACAGTTGTCTGTTATTTGTTGTGAAATTTATCAAACATGGCTATATATTGATAAAATATATATATATATATATATATATATATATATATATATATATATATATATATATAAAAGAGATTAAACAATTATTAAACACTCAAAAGTATTGAAAATTGGTACAGTTAAGTACCAGTATCGATTCCTAGGTACCAGGAATTGGTCTAATATTGATTCAAATTTCAAAGGCACCCACCCCTAGATCCACACTCCCAAGTTCATGATTTTGTCCGTTGCTAAAAGAACCAAGCTAGCAAACAAACCTAATTTTTACAGGGTTGATGAATTGAATGGGACATTTTTTCACAAGAGAAACAAAAAAAGAAGTGTAAAAAAGTGAAGTTTGCAATTGAATAAAAATACATTTCGTGAAGAAACCCCTTCACTTCACATCAACCATTTAGTCTAAGGATAAGTCTCCCACTGAGCCCAAGGTCCAACCCAAACCATTAAACTAGCATCTAGCCCTTGTTCTAAATCCTTTTACTGTCATGAAAACAATAAGGGGTTATTGTCGACAGATGTCAGAGCGTCTGCTGGATGTGGAGAACGAAGCAATGCTGAAGATTGTGGAACTGGAGAAACAGCTAATGCAGACTAACAAAGAGCTGGACCAACTCCGGGTCAGTGACATAACCATGGAAACCATAAAAATATTCTCCATGGAAAGGAAGTCTTCGTGCAACAATCTCACATTATCTACTGCCTCACTTGTTCACTGTACAGGAAGTGTATGCCAATGCCAACTCTCAGGTGCACACCTTACGGCGTATGGTTCGTGAAAAAGACCAGACAATCCGACGGCAGAGTCGCATGGAGCGTCAGGCTCAGGAAACCCAACTGGCTGTAGGACCTGGAGCTCCTCAGCCACAACGGGGAGAAGGAGATGGTGGTGTGGCTGACTCTGCCTCCCCATCACCCCCACCCTGTCCTAACCTGTCACCCAGGTGAGAAGTGGAACTTCTGTGATGTTTCTTCTGCAGCTCCTCCATCTTTTAACTGGCTATTTGATTTCTGCAGTCCTGAAACAGTAGCCTATCACAGCATAGGACCAGGAATGGGTGGAGCTCCAGGCATGCCAGCTCCACCCCCTCCTCCACCACCACCTCCACCAATGCCAGGCACAGGTGTGTTTATCTACGCCCAATCAAAGCATCACTTTCTTGGTAAATTGTAATTAATTATGTAGGTGAAGAAGGTAATGTAGCATTAACCTAACCTGTCCCACTTAAAACTATAAATATCTATTGTTTATTATTATTATTATTTATCTGGTCGGGCCCCTGCTTACTTTAAGAACGCTGTAATCCACCCGCTTTTTTAAAAACCGAGTCTCGACCCCTCTCTCCATAGCAGCTTCAGACCCATCTCTAAACTTCCGTTCATCTCCAAGATCTTGGAAAAGGTTGTGGTTAAACAACTCACAGCTGCTCTTGATGAACATAACATCTATGAAAGCTTCCAGTCAGGTTTTCGTAGAGCTCATTCTACTGAAACAGCTCTTCTTAGGGTCTCCAATGACCTTCTGACTCACAGTGATCCAGGGGACTGTTCTGTTCTGGTCCTGCTGGACCTGACTGCAGCCTTTGACACTGTTGATCATCACCTGCTACTGGCGAGGCTGAGAGACTGGGTAGGCCTATCAGGATCTGCACTTGAGTGGTTCTCCTCTTATCTCTCTGAGCGTTCCTTTTCTGTGGCCGTCTCCAAGTTTAGGTCCTCCACCACCTCCCTTACCCATGGTGTCCCACAAGGTTCTGTGCTGGGGCCTCTGCTCTTCTTCCTCTATCTGCTTCCTCTGCAGCACATCCTGAGCTCCTTCAAATGATCTCCTACCATCTTTATGCAGATGACATCCAACTGTACATCTCCTTTAAGCCCCATGAGATGTCTAAGCTGCAGCTGTTACACACCTGCTTAGACTCTATTAAAGCCTGGATGGCTGGGAGCTTTCTTCAGCTGAATGAAGATAAGACTGAGATCCTCATCTGTGCTCCAGACAAGCTGGTTCCCAAAGTCAGAGACTATCTTAGTCAGCTTGCTTCTCACACCAAACCCTCTGTCAGGAATCTTGGCGTGACCTTTGACCCAGCTCTCACCCTGGATTCTCATGTCAGTTCTCTTGTTGGCTCTTCCTTCTTCCATCTCAGGAACATTGCTGAGTCCCATTCTGTCCTGCTCTGAACTTGAGACAGTTCTCCACACCTTCATCTCCTCACGCTTAGACTACTGTAACTCTCTTTTCACGTGTCTGAGCAGAACCTCCCTGAACCGTCTACAGGTGGTTCAGAATGCCTGTGCTCGGCTTCTGACCAAGTCCTCCAAACACACCCACATCACCCCGCTTCTCCTCCAGCTTCACTGGCTGCCAGTCAACTTCAGGGTTCATTTCAAGATCCTGGTTCTGGTCTATAGGGCCTTACATGGACAAGCACCATCTTACACTGATGATCTTCTTAGTCCCTACACCCCCAGCAGGTCCCTAAGGTCCAGTGACCAAAGCCTAGTGGTTGCGCAGCACCAGGCTAAAGACCAGTGATGGGAATAACGCTGTTTAAGTATAACTGCGTTACTAATGGCGTTCTTTTTTTTTTTTAGGTAACGGAATAATCAAATTAATTACTTTTCCCACTGTTGCAACGCCGTTACTGGGGACGGAAGGTTGTGCGTTACTATGTGCTTGTCGAACGTTGAGCAACAGTGTGAGGCTTTCTGACCGCCACACTTCAGCTGCAGCAAGGGAGAGAGAGGTGTCGGTAACACACTTACAACCACGAGGATGATTGGCCGGGTGGGCGGAGACCCTCAGTGTTCTCACTGTCACTGCATGCTGTAGACCCAACAGAGCAGTGATGGGAATAACGCCGTTGAAAATATTTTTTTCAGTAACGAGCAATCTAATTAATTACCGTCTTCTTTCATCAAAACGATCGTTTCCGTTACTGATAAGGAAATGCGTGCATTAAGCAGTGCAGTGTGTTGAAGCTGTCATCAGCTGATCAGGATCTAAAGAGGTAGATGTTTTCATCCAAGCGCTTCACGGCCATGAAGAATGAGGAAGACGTGATGAATAGTCTACGGCTGCAGGTGTGGATCTGCAGCAGTGCCCTTCTTAGCGTGGCAGCGGGACGTCCCGAAGGTCCGCTCACCTGTTCACCGCTCAGACGTCCTGATCTCCCACCTTCCTAGATCATCCAGCTGTAACCTGTTTCTGATCATGTCTTTAGTCCCGCTGTAACACTGATGCATCAGCCTCAGACGTCATGGAGCTCAGGTGTTATTAGAACTACCTGTGTGTGTTTACCACCCAGCTTCAGCTCTTCTGTGGTTGGGTCTGACCCAAGTTAGTAAATGTCAGTCCTCCATCAGGCTTGTGCCTCTTCTAGTGTCATTTTAAAGGATTTTATTTATTTATTTAACCATTACTAGATTAGCAGCAACAGAAATGCTACTAAAAACACACAATTATGTGAAGCTGGAAACATTAAAATACTGAACAAAATTACATTTATTTCTGTAATTTAACTAGACTGAGAGACCATTTAAAGGCTCGGGAACCTTTACAGGGTTTCTATTTGCAATTTTAAATGTTAGCTGATTGGACACAGTGACCTTTTAATAGTCTGGATAAGTGTAATGCTCCTGTTAGTAGTTCCTCCTGTTAAGTGCTTATTTATTTAAATTATTCAGGTTTATAAAAGACATTTGGACATTTTATTATGTTCCAGTCATTAGTCCTTTATATTTCTATATTGTAGTAATTTATAGTAAATTAAGTAAGTTTAATTAAGAGGGGAACCCATTTTTCTTGCATTCTTTAATGAAAAAGTAACTAAGTAGTTATTTTTCTTGGTAATTAGTTACTTTTATAATCTCGTAACTCGGTAAGTAACTGAGTTACTTTTTTGACAAAGTAATTAGTAACTATAACTAATTACTTTTTAAAGTAACGTTCCCAACTCTGCTAAAGACCACGGTGACAGATCATCTGCTGCTGTGGCCCACAGACACTGGAACTCTCTCCCCCTGAGCCTGAGATCAGTGGACTCAGTGGTCTCCTTTAAAAAGCAGCTGAAAACTCACTTGTTCAAGCTGGTTTTGGTGTGACTTTCATCACCCTCTCCTTATTCTGTTCTTATTCCGCCTTTCCCGGGATCCATTGATTTTCCTCTTTTTTATTCCTTTTCTCTCTCCTTTTAAACATATTTAAACATCATTTTTGAAATCTTTTTACACTTTAAGTCCTGTTTTTGTTTGTTTGTATTTGTTTTTGTGAAACTTGATTTTTATCTCGAAAGGCGCTATATAAAAGATTGTTTTCTTTCTTTACTTTGTTTTTGTATTCTTTACTACTATTGCCAGATAAAAAGTCTTTTCTCCTTCAGTATCAAATGGACCATATCCTGCTCCTCCACCTCCTGCTCCTCCCCCACCTCCTCCTCCTCCCCCACCCTGTCGAACCAGTGAGCTCTCCTCTGGGCCCATGCCGCCTCCTCCTCCTGTGGCCCCCCCTCTACCAGGGACAGGGGGCTCACCGACAGTCATCTTTAACTCTGGGCTTGCAGGTTAGAAAATGCATCATTCTCAGTTGTTCACCATGATAACAGTAACCTATTCTGACGCTAACATGTTGTCTTCTCTCCTGTTCTGCCTACAGAGGGTCCTCTAAAGCTATTCTGTATGTTGAACCTTAAATAATTTTATATTCACTCAAACACCACCTTACACACTTCATCCCACCAACACCTGGTAACTGGAAACCAGTCACAGCTGATTCCAGTTGTCAGTTCTCCATTGTTCAACCATTTCTGGTCCTATTGTTTCTTCACTCTGAAGCAAAAATGATCCAGTAACAAAATAGATCATTTAAAGGCATATTTCAGTTAGTTTTTTAAATAGTATGCACTTTTGACCCCAAAGGTTCCAAAATAAAGATCCTATCTAGATAAATTGTGCTATCAATAATGATGCAACCATAAGAGGTCACAAGCCAAATGGGCCAGTCTGGACAAATGTAGAGCATTGTCAGTAAAGGCATCTTAGGTAAATCGTGAGCCAAGTCAAAAATGTGAATCACAAACAGATTTCACACTGAATTAGTCAAGACCCAGGTTAATAATGACTGCTATCAGTGGAACACTACTGTTAGTCAACAAGGTAGAACAGAAAGGTATGCTCATAGGCAGACCGAGAAGAGAAAAGGCAACATTGTGGAACTGAAAGTAGGAAGGCTAGATGTTGGAAATGCTGGTGAACATGATGCAGAGAAAAAAAGGTGGATGTACTACGTGTTCAGCAGACATGATGGAGATGTAGCAAGGCTACAAGCTTAAGAAATGGTTTAACTTTATTTGCCAAGGCATAGATGGAAAGAGACATGTAGTAGGAGTTATCCTGAGGGGGTTAAGAATGTCCTGAAAATGAAAATTGTTTCAGACAGACTGAGTCTGAAGACTGAAGTTGGAGGAATAATGATCCATGTTGATGGTGGTTGAGCTCCACAGGTAGGATGTGAGCCAAAAAGAAGCAGAAACTCTGGAGTGAGTTAGTATATGATCTGATGCAGCGGAAACCTAGAGCTGAGAGAGTGGTTATTGATGCAGACAATGACAGACATGTTGATTTTTATTCTTTGTTATGTTCATACTGTTTGTTTTCTGATTTCATTTTCTTTAGTTCTTCATTGTACAGTGTGATGAGTGTTTGTTTTTACTTTTGCTGACATGTTTCTACGTCACTGGCGTCTTCGTCAGGAAAACCTCCGAATGTTGGTGGCGTCACTTTCTTTTATCACAGTGTCCCATGAATGGTCCAGCATGTAGACTCCTTCGTCCCAGAACCATGAACAGGGACGAAGGAGTCTGCACGCCTTCATGGGACACTGTGATCAGCGGAGAGGGCATGGGCAGCAGAGGGCGATATTGCCACTGAGAAATAAAGTTCAAATAAAACACTGACTTATTTTCAGATTAAAGTCAAAACACTGTTTTAAGAAAACATAACTTGTGTGTGTGACCTCACTTGTAATTTCAAAAACATGAAAACTCATCAGTGAACATTTACTAAAGAAGTTTATCCTCCTTTTCTCCTACATTTTCCATTTTCCATCTCTAGAGATCTTTTTTCACAATATATTTGTTGAAATAATTCATCATGATCATTTTACTTAGCTTATAAAACCATACAGTCAAATTGATTTTACAACCCAGACTCCACAAACTCTCTCTTAAGAAACTACTTAAGAAAGAAGATACTTAAGAAAGGTTTTGCTAAAACATCTAGCTTCCATTCCATCATCCATCCATTACATTCCATCATTTCATTCATACCCTGTCTTGTATAGTCATTAGTTTAGGGAAATAAAAACAAATACATTTTTATAAACTATATAATTGACTGTCTGAATAAATACGAAGTGTGTTTATGGTCCTTGAATAAGTCAAAGAAACTAAAGTCTTCTGATTAAACCTTCAAAGACCAATCAGATTGATATTTCATGTTTATATGGAATATCACATCTTATCGATCATTTAATGTATATGTAGCCAATCCTTAATGCTACATTTTTATAGAATCTATGACCTTACATCATTTCCACCTGTCAGTAACCAACAAGTGACTCCATGTGTGACAGAATAATTGAATTTAAAAACAGTTTAGCTCGATCAAATTTTATAGTTGGTCGTATTTGTTTAAAGTTGTTTAAATTGATTTTCACTGTATCGGATATTACTTTAATGTGGCTCTTGGACCTTAGTGACAAATTAAGCGTGATGCACAGGTATTTGAATTCTGACCCCCAGTAAATTACATTTTGTTCTCTTTTAAACAACAGATTTCTGAACTGGTTTCTGCACAGTCATCTTAATTCACAATAAGAAAGAATCTCAGATATCTCTTTCTCTCCCTGTCTGTCTGTCATTTACAGCTGTGAAGATAAAAAAACCAATCCAGACCAAATTCAGGATGCCAGTGTTGAACTGGGTTGCGCTGAAGCCAAGTCAGATCAATGGAACCATCTTCAATGACATTGACGATGAGTCCATCCTGCAGGTAACCAAACAAGAGCAGGCGCTTCTACGTGTGGCTAATGGAGACGCTCAGTAATCCACGTAACTCCAGAAAAAGATGTTTTGTGTCCCTTTAAAGGGGTTTCACCAGTTCAAACAAGAAAAAAGAAACTAACAAGCTTTAGATTTGTAGTTATACCTTTATTAATGAGAAATGATTTATTAATCACATCCCCAGTCCTCCCTGGTGAAGGTTTAAGGCAGTGGTGTCCAACCCTGGTCCTCTAAGACCACGACCCTCATCTTCTAAAGAAGAGCACTCAAACTCAGGTTCTCAAAGGCAATTATCCAGCATGTTTTATGTGTTTGCCTGTTCCAACACACACGATTCAATGTTTGAATCATCTGTTCAGCCTGTGAGTCACCTGATGATTAAAAGAAGGTGCAGCAACTAAAACATGCTGAGAGTGGCCCTCAAGGACCGGAGTTTGATTCCTCTGTTCGACAAGTTTTCCATGGTCCAACACACCTGATTTTAACCAGTAGGTGATTACCAGGCTTCTGCAGAGTTCCATGACCATGATTCTCTACAACGTGATGATGAGAGTTACCAAGAGCCTGAAACGTTCGAGTGAGTGTGTGGCACAACTCACATACTAGAAATAAAACGGTTGACAAATGGACATTCTAGTGTTTTTTCATGCGCACGCTCGCGTGTGTGTGTGTGTGTGTGTGTGTGTGTGTGTGTGTGTGTGTGTGTGTGTGTGTGTGTGTGTGTGTGACTCCAATAGTAGCTGCACATGTTACAAACATCTATAATACCTGTAAAAAGTACTTTGCGGATTTCGCCTAATGCTGGTTGTTTTTAGAATGTAAATGCCAGTGATTACAGAGGGATCACGGTGATTCCATTGTTGAATCACAGTGGCTCTAGAGGACCAAGATTGAATGCAATGTTCTTTGTTGGAATAAAGACTGTTTGCCATTTTGTAAATGTTTAATTAAGATGATTACCTGTTTGTCTCCCAGAACCTGGACATGGAGGAGTTTGAAGAGCTGTTTAAAACAAAGGCTCAGGGACCAGCAGTAGACCTCACTCTGGCCAGGCAGAAGCTTCCTCAGAAAGCTCCATCCAAAGTTTCTCTACTGGAGGCTAACAGAGCCAAAAACCTGGCCATCACGCTGAGGAAGGCTGGTCAGGCTTCAGAGGTCATCTGCCGTGCCATTCACACGTAGGTGAACTAGTACATGTCGCTCACTGAAACCAGTAAGAACTCCAAAGTTACATCTAAATGGGTCCACTGGTTTGGCCTCTAATAGCTTTGTGGGAAGGGAGTCCATCAGACACATTTACTGGTGGCTGCTGGTTGGCTAACTGGACCAGAAACAGAAATCATTTAGCTTCAGAAGTAGTTTTGAATGTTACCATCTTTTCTGTGCAGGTTTGATCTCCGTACGGTTCCTGTTGACTTTGTTGAGTGTCTTATGCGTTTCCTGCCAACTGAAGCTGAGGTGAAGTTGCTACGACAATATGAGAGGGACAGAAAGCCTCTGGAAGCTCTGAGTGATGAGGACCGATTCATGATGCAGTTCAGTCGCATCGAGAGGCTGAGTCAGCGCATGACTATCATGACCTTCATGGGCAACTTCTCAGACAACATCCAGATGTTAACTCCGGTAAGGCAGGGAGTGTGAGGTAGGGAGGAAGAGAGGGTTAGAAGGAACATTTTGACTATTTTGTTTTCTTCCAGCAACTTCACGCCATCATTGCTGCTTCAGTGTCAATCAAATCCTCTCAGAAGCTGAAGAAGATCCTGGAAGTGAGTCTGTTGGTTCTGTTAGATTTATTTTTGCTCTGGTTTCAATATCAATTGAACTTTTGAAGAATCCTGAACCCTAGTGACACTTGGTATCATTTTTGCAGATCATCTTGGCTCTCGGGAACTACATGAATAGCAGCAAGCGAGGCGCTGTGTACGGATTCAAACTACAGAGTTTGGACCTGGTAATGCTCATGCACGCATGCACAGAAGCACATGTGCACGCAGACACACACACACACACACACACACACACACACACACACACACACACACACACACACACACACACATACACCCAGTAACTATCACAAGACACATCAGCTGCGAAGCGCCGCGAAGTGGATCGCTCATGAAATTTGTACGCTGCCCGCGGCTCCTCTGTTCACATCAAGCAAAAATTTTTGATGAGCGCTCCTGCCCATACCTACTGTTCTTCAAAACCTGCCACTCCACCCCAATGTTCTTGCTGTGTGTGTGTGTGTGTGTGTGTGTGTATGTGTATGTGTGTGTGTGTGTGTGTGTGTGTGTGTGTGTGTGTGTGTGTGTGTGTGTGTGTGTGTGTGTGTGTGTGTGTGTAACTAGTTTGCCCTGCTTTTTGATATCGAAAACTATGCTGAGCCTGCTGCTGTTTTGTAGACAACAGTGGGGGTGTAGAACCCTAGGGAGGCGCTATGCAAATACAGGCCATTTACTATATTGTTATTGGCTTCATCTGATAGTTTGACCCCTTCAGTTTCTCTGTGTTTTGAGCTCCAGAAAAAAAATATTTCATAAGACTGATGCGATTAGGCATAGCTTTCTGTCTCTGGGGCAGTTTCCTATGGTGGAACTAAACTCCTCTTATCCTCTCAAACTTTGTTCCGGTTCTTTTCCATAAACTTGAGAAATTGGTTAAATATATGAAACCAGAAGGCTCTCATGAGGACTCTTTGCTGCCTAAGTTGATGCATGTTTTTGTTTCTGCATTTGGTTCAGACATTTTGAACATCGTGAACACCAGTCTTTTCACCGGTGTGTTTCCTATGGCCTTCAAACAAAACAGGTGTGCAGCCAATTTTGAAGAAGCCTGGTCTGGACTATTTTAACTTTGATAACTTGCATCCAATTTCTAAAGTTCCATTCCTGTCAAAGGTACTGGAAAAAACAGTCCATTCACAGATTTTAACTCACTTAGAGACAACTCCACTGTTGGATGTGTTCCAATCTGCTCACAGACCGCACCATAGCATTGAGTCTGGTCTGGTGGTCTGATGATCGACCACCAAATCCTTTTGGCCCATCTAGAATCAGGGGTCGGTCTTTCAGGTACCGTACTGGACTGGTTCTCCACAAATTTGATATGTAGATCATGCAGCATGCAGATGGGAGACTGTGCCTTCCCCTGTCTTCCACTGAACTGGGTGGGAGGGGGGGTGGGGTGGGGGTGGGGGGGGCATGGGGTTCTGTCCAGGGGCCCCTCCTAATTTGTCTATCTTCTCCCTTTGGGAAAAATTGTGGTATAGCATCAGCTACCACATCTATGCTGATGACATTCAGACCTACCTGGCAATGAATGAGTCAAACTTTTTTTTTATTCCGGAACTGTGCTGCTCTGGGTGGCTGCATGTTGGAGTAGCTCTGTTGACAATATTTAAGTGTTGCTTTTTCTTGGACATTTTTTCTTCTAGTTTCTCAAGAAAAAACGGTATTTTTTGGACAGTTTACTTTTCTGTTTCTGGTGCTGTGAAGCTTGGAGGACTTTTAATGCTATTTTTTTTACCTTTTTTCACTTTTTGAGCATTTGTTATGATGCGTAACCATGGCAACAAGCTGGTTTACAATCGGGAGCAGCTGATTAACATTGGAAAGGCTAAAATAATACCTCAAGTGAAGCCACAAATCCCAAATGAGCTAAAACGCAAGAAGAGTGGTTGCAGAGCGGGAGCAAAACGGAGACAGAGAAAGAGGAAATTCAAACCATCTCTTCCATCGACCATAATGGGCAATGTGAGATCACTGGCCAACAAGATGGAGGAACTCCAAGCCCTTTCAAGGACTCAGCCAGAGTTTTGGCAGTGCAGTGTTATGTGTTTCACTGAGACGTGGCTGCAGGACCATATCCCCAATTCCAGCGTCTCTCTGCCAGGATTCCTGACTGTACGAGCAGACCGAGATCTGAAGGGGAGCGGGAAAAGAAAAGGAGGTGGAGTGGTAGTGCTTGTCAACAACAGATGGTGCCATCCAGTTCATGTTTCAGTGAAATGTCATATCTGCAGCCCAGATGTTGAACTCTTGGCAGTAAGTTGTCGCCCATATTATTTGCCAAGAGAGTTCACCAGTGTTGTCTTGGCAACCATTTATATTCCACCTTCAGCTATTGCTGAAAATGCATGTGATGCCATCAGTTCTGTTGTCGCTAAGCTACAAACCCAGCACCCCAATGCATTTGTGGCTATATCTGGTGATTTTAATCATGCCTCGCTCTCTGATACACTTCCAACATTTCAACAGTTTTTCAGCTGCTCCACCAGAGAATACAAGACATTGGATTTGTGTTATGCAAATGTAAAGAATGCATACATGTCCAAAACAAGACATTCTTTGGGACAATTAGATCAGTTTTTCTCTGCTCAGAATACAAACCACTAGTTCAGAGGCAACCTGTGACAAGAAGAACTGAGAGAAAATGGTCACAGGACGCTGAAGAAGCCCTGCAGGGTTGTTTTGAGACCACAGATTGGATGACTCTCTCCCAAGGATATGAAGAGGACATCAATGCCATGACTGGATTTGTCACTGACTATATAAACTTCTGTGTGGACAACATCAAACCCACCAGAACAGTGAGATGCTTCGCTAATAACAAACCCTGGATCACCAGTGAACTGAAGAATCTGCTAAATGAGAAAAAAAGAGCCTTCAAGGAGGGAGAGAGGGAATTATTGAGGAGTATACAGAAGCAACTGAAGATCAAGATCAGATGAACTGAACAAGTTCTTCAATAGGTTGAGTTCAGGAACAAACCCAGCATCCTCCTTGCCTGTCCCCAGCCAATCAGACATCCCATCCTCCTCTGATCCAACATTTTCCTGTCACACGCCAGCTCTTTTGTCCTCTAACGCAGTCATTGACTCTTCTGGTTCTATAAATCTGTCCAACCAAGTCAGGAGATGCTGCTGCCCCATTTACCTCCCCCTCCCACCTATCTGTCTCTAGAAATCAGGTGAAGAGGCAGCTGGAGAGACTGAACAGGAACAAGGCTGCAGGTCCAGATGGTGCCAGCCCCAGCATACTGAAGGCATGTGCAGAGCAGCTCTGTGGGATTCTGCAGCACCTCTTCAACCTCAGCCTGGCCCAGGAGAAGGTTCCAGTCCTGTGGAAGACATCCTGCCTTGTTCCAGTTCCAAAGAAAACTCACCCATCAGTCAATGACAACTACAGACCGGTTGCCCTGACATCCCACATCATGAAGGTCCTGGAGAGACTCCTGTTGGTCCACCTGAATAAGCAAACTAGGACATATCAGGACCCGCTGCAGTTTGCTTATCTCCATGGAGTTGGAGTTGAAGATGCCATCATCCAGCTGCTTCAACCAATCCACTGTCATCTGGACAAAGCAGGCAGCTCTGTGAGGGTCATGTTCTTGTAGTCGTCGGGTGTATCAGAGATGGACAGGAAACTGAGTACAGAGAGCTGGTGGAGCGATTTGTGGCATGGTGTGGAAACAATCATCTGACCTTGAACGTGAACAAAACAAAGGAGATGATTTTAGACTTCAGAAGAAACAGGGTGGAGTCAAACACTGTTTCCATCATGGGAGAAGAAGTGGAGGTGGTTGAGGAATACAAATACCTTGGAGTTCACCTGGATAACAGGCTGGACTGGAGAAAGAACAGCGAAGCCGTTTACAAGAAGGGACACAGCAGACTGCACTTCTTGAGGACGCTTGGGTCCTTCAATGTCTGTAGCAAGATGCTGCAGATCTTCTACAAGTCTGTTGTTGAGCGTGTAATCTCTTCAGCCATTGTCTGTTGGGGTAGCAGCATCAGAAGCAGGGACCTGAAAAGGCTCAACAGCCTAATAAAAAAGGCTGGTTCTGTTCTGGGGACAACTGTGGAACCACTGGAGGAGATAATGCAAAGAAGGATTCTCCAGAGAATCAAGACAATTATGGACAACCCTGAGCATTCTCTTCACAAGATTGTCCGACAACGGAAGAGTGACTTCAGTCAGAGGCTTCTTCAGTTTCGCTGCAACACTGACCAGTACTGGAGATCCTTCCTGCCAACAGCCATTGTAATATACAATAACTCTTTGATTACTTGATTATTATTATTATTCTGAGCTACTACAACAATCAATTTCCCCCTGGGATTAATAAAGTATTTTTGAATTGAATTGAATTCAATTAAATTCAAAGATACTTTATTAATCCCAGAATTGAATTGAAGCACAGACTTACAAGTCATGGACTGCCTTGCTGGTGTGAAGACGTGGTCTCATGAGTCAAAGGCTGAGTTGATTCTTTTCAACCCTAGGAACCTGTCTCATGCATCATCTGTCCAAAATCTTCCAAGTTTCGCCCTTAAACATTGTGGAGTCTGAGGAACACAGCTTCGGGGTGAAACTAGATGTTGGATTTTCAATGGTCCCTCAGATAAATGCAGTTGGGAAATCATGCTTCTTTCAACTACGTCGTGTAACACACCGGAGAGGGGTAGACATTGGCACTGTCAATGGTTAAAGAAAAGCTGTCAGTTTTAGAGATGATGGATTTGGTACCAATAAGACGAATCTCCATTTTATTGCCCTTTAGTTTGAGAAAATTTGCGGGGAACCTAGATTTGATATCAGAGAGGCAGTGAGTTAGAGAGAGGGCAGGAGAGTTTAATTAGGTTTACTGGAGATGTAGAGCTGGGTGTCATTCACAAAACAAAGGAACTGGATGCCAAATTTGCAGAAGACATTACGGAGCGAGAGAAGGTAAATTGTGAAGAAGAGGGGTCCCAGGATAGAGCCCTAGGTTATACTTGGCTGGAGAGGGTTGTGCAGAAAAAGATTTTAACTGGATAAACTGAATGTGGTTCTTAAGATATGAGTGAAACCAGCTGAGGGCAGTTTGAGTGATACCTAGAGAAGAAAGTCTATTGAGGAGGGTGGGGTGCGAAATGGTGTTGAAAGCTGCACTCAGATCTAGAAGAACGAGGATGGAAATTAAACCAGATTCAGCAGCAAAGAGAAGGTTGTTTGTGATTTTCATGAGGGCTGTCTCTGTACTGTGGTGGGGACAGATTGAAAATGTTCATAGAGGTCATTATGGGTAAGATGGGTGTAGAGCTGTGTTGCAAAGGGTTTTCTAAAATTTGGGAGATTGGATGAAGGTTATTAAAATAATTGGGATCTGCACCTGTTTTTTCAGAATAGGAGAAACTGCTGCTGATTTAAAGGAGGGCTGGAATTATTAGTCTTTGTGCAGTGCTTTGGTCAGCTCACATGCTGTGTTTAAATGTGCCATATAAATAAAATGGTATGGTATGGTGTTGGAATGTACAGGGTGGGCCATTTCTTTGGATACGCCTTAATAAAATGGGAATGGTCATTTAACGTCCTGTTTGTGGCACATTAGTATATGTGAGGGGGCAAACTTTTCAAGATGGGTGGTGACCATGGTGGCCATTTTGAAGTTGGCCTCAAAGAAAGTTCAAAACACACAGAGGGATTAGATTGATAATTTGGTAAATTGTAAACAACCCACGACAAACAACAACAAAATACTTTGCAAAGGGTGAGAGAATAATACACACCAGTCAAAAGCCAGTTTCCTCTCACAACACAAGCAAGGCTGGAGAGAGACTTTATTTGGGAACACACACACAAAGTTAGTGATAAGCACACACACACAAATTCTTCACAGACAGTCACCCGAGTGCAGAACACATTGGTCTGGCTTCTAATCATAATAGAAAGTACTCAGGCGAGGTCAGGTTTTCTGCACCTTATTTAAATGTAAATAAGCATTGATGAACCTCTGTTTGAAATAACAACACCAGACAAATTATTAACAAGGTGAGGTGAAAATAGGTTTTTATCTATCAAAGAGGGTCATGTGACACATCAAACTTATTTCACAAGAAAAACAACGGTGTGCTTGATTTGAACATAACTTTGTTCTTTCATGAGTCATTTACAAGTTTCTGACCACTTATAAAATGGGTTATATGTGCTGCCCATTGTGTTGAATTGTCAATGCAACCCTCTTATCCCACTCTTCACACACTGATAGCAACACTGCAGGAGAAATGGCAGCAAAGGCTTCCAGTATCCATAGTTTCAGCTGCTGCTCATCTCGTATCTTCACACCATAGACAACTGCCTTCACATGACCCCAAAGATAAAAGTCTAAGGAGTCAGATCGGGAGACCTTGGGGCCATTCAACTGGCCCACGACGACCAATCCACTTTCTAGGAAACTGTTCATCTAGGAATGGTAGGACCTGACACCCATAATGTGGTGGTGCACCATCTTGCTGGAAAAACTCAGGAAATGTGCCAGCTTCAGTGCATAAAGAGGGAAACACATCATCATGTAGCAATTTCAAATATCCAGTGGCCTTGAGAATTTCATTGATGAAGAATGGCCCCACCATCTTTGTACCCCATACACCATACCATCACTTTTTTTGTTCCAACAGTCTTGAAGGGATCTATTCAATGTGGGCTAGTGTTAGACCAATAGCGGTGGTTATGTTTAACTTCACCATTTACATAAAAGTTGCCTCATCACTGAACAAAATCTTCTGTGTGAACTGAGGGTCCTGTTTCACTTTTTGTATTGCCCATTCTGCAAATTATGTGCACCGATCTGGGTCATCCTCGCTGAGATACTGCAGTAGCTGGAGTTTGTAAGGGTGCCATTTGTCAGTAGCTAATATCCACCGAAGGGATGTTGGACGAATGCCACTCTCCAGTAACATGCGGCGAGTGCTACGCTGTAGGCTCTTGCTGAATGAAGCTAGGACAGCCACTGATGTTTCTTCATTAGTGACAGTTTTCATGCGTCCACATTTTGGCAAATCCAACAATGAACCAGTTTCACGAAACTTATCAAGGAGTTTGCTAACTGTAGCATGGGAGATGGGTGGCCTTGTAGGGTGTCTTGCTTAGAAATCTGCTGCAATGACCCGGTTACTGCGTTCACCAGATATCAACACAATTTCGATCCACTCCTCACACGTTAACCTCTTCGACAAGTCAGTGGCTGTGTACAAAGAGAAATTTGTAAATAACTCATGAAAGAATAAAGTTACATTCAAACCAAGCACACCATTGTTCTTCTTGTGAAACTCCCAATAAGTTTGATGTGTCACGTGACCCTCTTCCTATTGAATAAACAAAACTTGGATCCAAGATGGCCAACTTCAAAATGGCCACCATGCTTACCATCCATCTTAAAAAGTTTGCCCCCTCACATATACTAATGTGCAACAACAGGACGTTAATATCACCAACCATTCCCATTTTATTAAGGTGTACCCATAGAAACGGGCCACCCTGTACATTGACCGGTAATTCGTCTTCCGGCTCAGCTCTCCCTTCAACGCTATCTGATCTGATCTTTCCCTCACTCGTGAACATAACCCTCAAGGTACTTAAACTTCCTGACTTGAGGTAGGACCTCATCCCTGACCTGGATAAGGCATTTTACCATTTTCAAAATCAAGACCATGGTCTTAGATTTAGAAGAGCTAATTCTCATTTTGTAAGTTTGCAGATGCTCTCAAACCACATATCACCACTAGGGCTTGCCAACGTACCATTCTTATTCATCACACTATTTTGAAAGATTAAATTAGAGCACAAATAAAATGTTACTTGGGTACAGTTTAAATCTGTAATACCTGTCGGAATCCAGATTTGATCTGTGTCAATCAGCTCAAAGAGGACACAGGAGAAACTCAAAAAAGCACAGGTGTTAGCACAGCAAGCTAACCAGGCATCTTCTGTCCAAGAAAAAACTGAACAGTGGAGAGCTCACAGTTGAATGTCCTGATTTGAGCGGAGACTCCTGTCTTATGTGCATGCCTCAGGTGCAACAGTCTGTGCCTGAAGTCTCTCCTTTGTTTTGTATTGGAGGGGGATGCACCAGTTGTAGCTTGGGTCTAAGGTAAAGATTTTGCGCCCCAAAGGAACTTTGGATTATACAGTGCTTATACTTGGTTTAATGTATAGACCGTTCAGTGAAAATTTTAAGGTGTTTTAAAATCTCTCCTTTTGAGACTGGTGGGGCAGCGCCCCCTATAGACAGGCCACCACTGAATAGCTCTATCATACATTACACTGCTGATCTTCACAGTTCCTACTGGTTGTGCAGCACCAGGCTAAAGGTTAAAGGTGACGGATCATTTGCTGCTGTGGTCCCCAGACTCTGGACCTCTCTCCCCCTGAGCCTGAGATCAGTGGACTCAGTGGTTTCCTTTAAAAAGCAGCTGAAAACTCACCTGGTCAGGTGGCTTTGGTGTGAACTCTTCATCCTCTTCTTCCTCACTACCTTCTTTTCATGCTGCTATGTCTACCAATTCTGCCTTCCTTGGGATCCTGTATTACTTATTTTTATTCATTTTGTCCTTCTCAATTTTTTGTTTAACTTTTCAATTTTCCAATTTCTTATATTTTTCAAATAAATTTTTGGCAGATATTCCTTTGAATCTTGTTTTTAAATGTTTGTTCTTTTGAAGCGCCTCATGATTTTTCGTCTTGCAAAAATATTGCTTTTTCTTCTTCAGTACAAATATTTATTTTATTGGCTTTTTAAGTGGCTACATGGCCTTGCCCCACGTTATCCTTCTGAGCACTTGACTATTCACTCTCCATCTCGGTTCCTGAGGTCAGCAGACCCACTTCTCCTGCAAGTTCAGAGAAAAAAGCAGAAGCTCAGGGGTGACAGAGCTTTCTTGGTGGCAGTCCCGAATTTTTAGAATGCGCTGCCAACACAGATTAGGATGGATTCTTCCCTTTCTGGTTTTAAATCTCTACCTGTGTTATTGCTTTTAGTTCAGCATGAGATTTTAGTGAGTCTTTCATCTTTTTATGCTTTGTTCTAAGGGTTATTATCAGAAGGTTGTTTTTAGTATTTTATTTGCATTGTTGTGTTTTAGTGCACCTGTTTTTATGTTTGTTCAGCACTTGACCTAACCTTTGCTTGTCTTTAGCTGCTGGAAACAAAATCAACAGATAGGAAGCAAACGTTGCTTCATTACATCGCCAACGTGGTGCAAGATAAATATCCAGCCGTGTCTCCATTTTATAACGAGCTTCACTACGTCGATAAAGCTGCTGCAGGTCAGTCAACCAGCCAGTCATAGCACCGCTAACATCCTGCGCTGTGAGAAGCTCACCTTGTGTTCATCTGTGATGGCAGTAAGCCTGGAGAATGTGCTGTGTGACGTGAAAGAGCTACAACGTGGCATGGAGCTCACCTGGAGAGAATTCAGTGTGTCACACAACGCCACGCTAAAAGATTTTATCAGCAGGAATGAATCAAGACTCAACAAACTACAAGAAGATGCACGCATCGCTCAGGTGAGGTAGTCAGCATGAAGGTGTTCAGCTACAAAACACAGATGACACTACACTAATGCTCTGTGTGTGTGTGTGTGTGTGTGTGTGTGTGTGTGTGTGTGTGTGTGTGTGTGTGTGTGTGTGTGTGTGTGTGTGCGTGCGCGTTGTGCGTGTGTGCGTGCACGTACTCACGCGTTTCAGGATGCATTTGAAGATGCGGTTAAGTTTTTTGGGGAGAGCTCCAAAACGATGCCACCATCAGTTTTCTTTCCCATCTATGTTCGTTTCATCAAAGCTTACAGGGTAAGTTATCCCAGGCCCTCCCTGTTGTGTGTGGCCGTTGCCTGTAGTCTTCAAGCTACTCCCACCATTACCAAATCTTAGCTGCAGATCTGATGAGTGGTAAAAGTCTTAAACCAACAGAAATTGTGTGTTTAGGTGGCGGAGGATGAAAATGAACAGAAGCGGCGCCAGGAGCAAATGCTGTTGGAGAAACTGGAGCAAGAGGAGCAGCAGGACCAGGAGCGGGAAGACACCAAGGTGAGACACTGCAAAGGCTTTAGAGGAAGTTGCAGTGTCAGACCAGAGTGCATTTACATCATGACCTTTGACCTGATGCCTGTTATGTATGACAGATATTCAAAGGTGGAAAGTAACGAATTACATTTACTCACGTTACTGTAATTGAGTAGCTTTTTTGTATATTTATACTTTTTAAGTCGTGTTTAAAATCTGTACTTTTACTTTTACTTGAGTATGTTTTTTAAAAAGAATTGTAATTCGCTACATTTTAAATCATATCCGTTACTGAGTAAAAATAAATTATAGGTTTAATAAATTAAAAATATTACGTGTAGCAGCGTTGGAACGGAAAGAGACACCTGCATGAGTGCCGCGTCTAAACCGTGGGGGGGTGTACACTTTTGCTCAAAGACATCAGTTCAGTTCCTCAACTCGCTGTTTACCTCCTCTCTCCCTCCTCTCCTGTGGGTTGGAACCCGCACCTTTGCGCACCGGTGTGACATCATCAGAATTCCGCTCGATTCAGTAACCAGACTCGGTTCCGTGTTTGAAATGTGTTTTCCTACCGCTCCGCACGGACGCGGCAAAATAACATTTAGTGCTCATAACAAGCGGATTATCAGCGCTTTGCTCATAAAACAGAAGACCTGCAGGCCTCTGTGAGTTAAAACATCCTGATACTGTTTCAGGTGTAAACATTGTGCTCCATCCCTGTGTTTGAACTCAGAAGATGATCCTTGATGCCACAGATATGAGATGATTTAGCTTGTTTCTTTATTTTAGTCCAGAATAAGAGATTAAATTATTACTAAAGCAGTTCAATGTAGTTAAATTAGTCATTCAAAAGATTCTAACATGCTGCAGTGTGTGTGTGTGTGTGTGTGTGTGTGTTTGTGTGTGTGTGTGTGTGTGTGTGTGTGTGTGTGTGTATGTTTGTGTGTGTGTGTGTGTGTGTGTGTGTTGCACATATAGTGCTGCATGAGACAGCATGGTTTTATCAAATCCATGTATCCTATATCTTGGCTGAAGTAATGGCTCAGGAAAAGGAAAAAAATAACTTATATTTCATAAATAATGACGTCTCTATAGTGTTTATAATATTTGATCTTATATTGAACCTATCTTTGGTCTGGGAGGTATAACTTCTCATGATACAAGCCTTTTAAAACATGTTCAAGTGTTACAAGAGGAGATAAATGCATGAATTTAAAGTTCATGTTTGGAGACCAACCTTCACAGTTCGGAGGCTCACGCTGGTGAGGAGACATCATTAGTTCTAGTAACACCTGGGCTCCCAAGGCCTGTTCTGACAGGATGTACGTTACGGGACCCTTAAGGATTCCAGTTGGATGATTGGAGGATTATTTAGGAGGACTGGAATGAACAAACTGATTTCAGTGGTGAAGGGTTAAATGAGTGAGTGAACCCACTACCAAGGATGAACTCTGCTAACTTTAAAAATCAGCTGCTCTAAATAAGAATGAAGGTCAGAGAGGAGCTCTAGGATGGACACGGATAAAGGAATTGTAATGTAGAGGTAAAGTAGGGCAGGGCCAACGTTAGCAGCTGTCATACGGTCCATCTGAAATGTTTGACTGCATTAGGCTTGTTATATTATGTGACAGGTTAGAGCACAGTCTCATGTTAGAGTTTTGTCATGAAAACATTGAGATACCTCACACACTGATGGCATCTTAAACAATTATTTTTTCTCAAAATAAAAAATAATTTTAATCACAATTGAAACCTACCATCCTAATCAATGTGCACGTCCTGTTCTCACTGATTGGATAGAAATCCCTCCATCAAACTGTGTGTGTTTGAGTGTGTGTGTGTGTGTGTGTGTGTGTGTGTGTGTGTGCGCACACGAGCGAATTGTGAACTGGAGTTGTGATTTAGCACTACTTGGATGTAGCCATCCTTACGCTAACAAAAATGTAACTAAGTAACTTTTACTTTGAGTACATTTTGTTTACGATACTTTTTACTTTTACTTGAGTAAAAATTTAGGCAAGTACTTTTACTTGTACTTGAGAAAAAAATGATCAAAGTATTGGTACTCGTACTTAAGTAGGAATTTTTTGTACTCTTTCCACCTCTGCAGATATTATTTACAAATAACGAGGTCAAAGATTCCCTAACCTTAGAGTAGAACAACTCACTTGTACCTACCTACTAACTTACTCATTACTGCGCATGGGAAGGCCGTGAGCATGCCTGAACAGAACCTAGCATGTTACTGTCAGGATTAGGGTTGGGTTAGATGGCTCTAGTAGATGGTTTACATCTGCTCCGGCTGAGCTTAACCCCTTCTTTCCATTGCATGTGAAAGCGTGGTGAAACGGCAGCAAAGAGTACTATGTGGCAATTAGCTGCCGTTCTGGTGGATGAGTTCCTTTCCACCGTAAGTGAAGTGTAACATTTTAGACGTGCCCCAGAAGCAAAGGGGATGCTATCATTACATTTTTAGTCTATTATTTACATGCAACGCTTCCAAAAGATGTCAAACTCTGCAGTTTGCACCAGACAGGAAGTCAAACACAAAAGCAGTGTAATACATGTGCAGAAACTTTAAAAAATAAAAGTAACATGCAGGTAAACGTATGTCCTTTCCTGTTTAAACCTCTGTAGTTGATGTAAAGAACAGAAAATAAACCACAGACCTTTCTTGACATGCAGCTGTCTTTCTCCTTGCTTATTGTGAGTGGACTTCAGAAATCACATGAGGTGGTATAGTTCCCCACTGATTTTGTGATATCACAAGATCAGCTGCGTGAAACACCTTTGCTCCCATTTTGCGTCTTATGCCCCCAGTTGGGAATGGGCTCGCGGGTAAAAACGCCGCTATTACATTAAGCGACTGCTTTCAATGCCAGTGGAAAGAAGGGTAAAGATGGAGGATGGGTGTCAGCCATGATTACATCATGTCTAAGCCTTAACGCCACCCCTTCTCTATCATCCAGTCTCCATCACATAAAGGGAGGAGGCAGCAGCAGGAGCTGATTACAGAGCTCAGACGACGCCAAGGAAAAGACAGTCGGCATGTTTACGAAGGGAAGGATGGCGCCATTGAAGACATCATCACTGGTAATCATCACCACATTAACAACACTCTTATTGGTGTTTCCTTTTTCTGATTGTTGTATTTTCTTACCTGCAGCTCTCAAGACGGTTCCCTTCACTGCTCGATCGGCCAAACGTAGCTCTCGCTTCTTTTGTGACTCTGCCCACTCTGAGGAGCACTACTGAGAAACATGTGATCTGACTCGTTCACTCTGTCACTTTGAACATTTCTGATTGGTCAACATGGACTAATGACGTCACGTTTTGTGTTATTTTATTGGTGCATTTTTTAGACCAGATATTCTGCTCCCTCCTCCAGACCTACAGGGTTTGATTAAAATATAAGTTTAATCATTTGAGTCCTGTTGAAAATGGGCCAATATGCACAAGGGAGGAACTGATGCTGAAGAATTCTACAAACACCAATCAGCTCTGAGCTAATTGACAGATTTCACCAACAATATGCAAAGTGGTTATGAGATCTTCATTGGCTTGTCGCCCACATCACATGGGTGTCTTCTAAACATCATCCTGGACTACTGAGACTCACTGAAAGTTGCTTTTTGAATGAAAACAATGACTGGAAATTCTAAAACTACAATTTCAGAAGAAAATTGTATTTTAATGAGTTTAGTTTCAGTCTCCTCACAAACCAGGTAGCTCAAACATGGTGCTAAAACCACAGGGCTGAGGGCTAATAATGGCTAACTGTACCAACACCAAATGCCTCAACAGTAAGTAGGTAACCTGCAGCTAAACCCAATTTCTGGTTGTGGGTGTGTAGGACTGTGGCTTTGTGGTTTTTCTGGATTTTTTTCCCCCTCTTTCACTAAATCTTGTACAGGTTTTTGTTCCTGTAGTTAAAATGTGTTCTACTGTACATTCTGGCTTTTTTAAGCCAGGGCCAACCGCCTGGTAGCTCCAGGTTTAACTGTAAAATGAAAACAAATTAAGCAGAAGCATAAACACCTAGAAACGCCAAACTGGGTCAAACTTCCCAGCTTTGATAACCTGGAGATACCATTTCTGCTCCTGAAGTTAACAACTCCTTTCATTGTGTTTGGTTGTTTTTTTTCCAGGCAGGTGAGAACACCTGGGACACACCCAGAGGATGTAAAACTAATCTCATCTCAGATATTCTGACCCAGAGAGTTACTTTGGCCTGGTTCGTACCTGCAGTAGTATGAGATCAGATCACAAGGTCCAACGTTTCACATCTTGTTTTAAAATCCATCTACAGTGATCAGATCTGCAGGTTCACTGATGGTTTTGTAGAACCACATTCTGTCTCCAGGATGTTGTTTTTCAGACAAGGTAAATAGACAGTCCCAACTACAGTACCTTTTTTGTTGATGAGCAGTCCAACAGAGGAGTTATGTCTGGCCAGAGAGTGGTCTTACGGGTGAGCAGTGGTCCTACATGTCAGTGGTTAGTTCTACAGTCAATACTTGGTCCTTCATGTGAGTGGATCATCCTACATGTCAGTGGTTAGTCCTACAGGTGAGGGGTGGTCCTACAGGTCAGTGGCTAGTCCTACAGTTGGGTAGGCAGTCCTGCAGGTCAGTAGGTAGTCTTTTTCAGTGAATCAAGATGCTTTGTGATCACATAGCGCAATACATGTGTATTGGGGCGTCGGAGACCACCTCTGATGGCAATCGCTTTCATAAAGTACCCTAAGCAGAGTACAATAACACCTGCGCTTAGTGTTGTCTGAATATCAACCGATTACTCAGGATGGATCTTGTTCCCAGGTGTGAAGTGGACCTTTCTGATTCAAAGACTGAAGAGTTTAGCATCAGACTGGGGTAAAAACAAAAGGAAAACACTCAGTGCTCACAAATGCATCTAAGTTGATCTAAACTGGGGGCCCTTACCCTGGTTTACATCTACGTTAGAAAACTAAACTCTCAAATGAAGTTCATTCCACTCTGGTACAGTAGGTGGTGACATTCACCCTTTCATTTTGGTATTCTTCCGGTTAGCTTATAGTAACACAAATAGTAAACAAACGCTGATGGGAGTGAAGCAGATTAAGCTAAAACAGGACATGCCTAATGGCTGAAAGAACGGTCAACAACAACGCTTATTTGGCATGTTCTGTACTGTTTGATGGCGTTAGGTGTGTAACTTTGTGGCAATGATATTATCAGAAGACCGCTTTTGTGGTCTCGTCACTTTCAGAAGTTACCAATATCAGCTCAGCTAAGCCGTTTAAATGCAGATGAAGTCGGTTTCCTGCTGCATCATATGGGTGCTTCAGCACAATTAGAACCAGTTCACCTTAAGCCAGACTAACGTGTTTACATGCATTTAAAAAAACGAAGTCAGTCTATTTAGGGCAAAAGTTTAGTTTTCTGATGCGCATTTGAACGCATTATCTTTTTTGGGGGCACTTTGAAAACACCAGGCTGTCATTTTTAAGAGATTTATTTGTTTAACTGATACAACTGAAAACGTTGGGTCTGTGGCTTGAATCTAGAGTGTATACATTTGTAACACTATAGGTCTACCTGAACATACCTGTAATGTTGCTGCAGTGTTTTGTGGTCTCGCAATCAGCCACACAAAATCCTAAAGAGTTCTCAGAACACCACCTAAACCCCACACCTCCCTTTTAATTATGTCACAAAAAATTCAAGAGCACAACATTTTCTATGTGTAAAGACATTTTATAGAAGCTCGTGTAGTGATGCTGTGTGTGTGTGTGTGTATGTGCGCGCGCATTCATGTGTGAGAGAAGTGAGTGTGTGCATGAGTATGCATTGATCAATGGTGTCCTGTGTTTGTTGTGTAAATAAAGTAACATTCATCTTCTAATGTCTCATTAGATCATTCACTAAATTATTCACAGTTGCCTTTTACTCACATTTTCTGAATTTCTGGTATTTTTACAACCTCATCGGCTGATGGCTGTCACGCCAGATACTGATTGGCTGATGATGATATCAGCTAAATATTCATCACAAGTGATAAACATAAATTAGACAAATAGTTAACTAAAACATTAATCAATAAAAAAAATTATCAGCGTTTTAAAAGTTTGACATCTGAGGCAAAGTGAGACTCCAGCTCCTGGAGATCATCCAGAGAATGAGTGTGATGGCAGGCCTTTGACCCCCAGTCCTTTCACCTGCACATGAAATCACAAAAACAAGTAACCATCACCTTCCAAAAGTTGATGAACAGGTGAGCTGGGGAGGAGCTCTCACCCTAAAGGTGTTCCCAGACAGAGGTTGCTGGTTCCTCTCGGATTTACTGAGGCCCAAGCTAGCCGATGTCACATACAGGTCAGAGTAGTCTGGTCCTCCAAAGCAACAAGAGGTAGTCTTCATCACTGGCAAAGAGACCGTCTGCAGCCTCTTACCTGGGAGGTAAAATTTAACCACTTACTCATTTTTAGTGGACTTAAGGTGAATGACTGAGTTAACTGGTTTTCTGAGTTAAGGTTAGGTGTAGACAGGTAACCACTTTAATCAGTCAGACTAACCAGTAGTGGGGTCGATCCTGATGACTCTCCCTCCATTGTAACAAGCCACCCAAAGATTACCTTCAGCATCAATCGTCATGCCATCAGGAAGCCCCTCCCCCTCCTCCATATGGTACACTACACGACGGTTACCTAGGGAACACACACTATGATCAATATACACATGCATGAACATACACGCTTTTAAACATTTCTAAAAGTTCAGTGAAACAAGCCTCATGTAGATAATGTGAGAGGCACTGGAACAGCAGGGGCCTCATTCATCAAAAGGTGGTAGAAATTAAATTAATAATAATAATATTATTTTGATTAATAATAATAATAATAATAATAATACATTTAATCCCCACAACCCTGCATAGACAAGAGGGTTCAGTGGATAGTACATTTAATTTATAGGTGCATTTCAAAACCTAAGGTCACCTCACAAAAAACATGATAAAAACTTATAAGTAATAGAATATGATCAAGAGAGAGAGAGAGAGAGAAAGAAAGAAAGAAAGAAAGAAGGAAAGAAGTTTTTTTAATAGCGCCTTAAGATAAAAATCATGAGGCGCTTCACAAAAACTAAAACATTTTTAATATAAAAAGTTTTTTTGTAGAAATTATTTAAAAATATGTTTAAAATGAGAACAAAAAAAAAATTGTGATTAAACAATGTGAGGAAAGGGAAAGAAAATGATTAGTGTGCCGGTGAGGATTAGCTACATTTTTGTTAAGTGATCAATAAGATGTGATATTCCATATAAATATGAAATATGAATCTGAATATTTGATTTAGATTACTTTAGGTTCTTTGACTATTCAGGGAACACACAGACACTTCATATTAATTCAGACAGAGTCAAGGATATAGTTTCTTGAAATGAATTAAATTCTATATTTCTAAAGTAAACGATGATACATGAAAAAGTATGAATGAAATGGTGGTTGAACAGATAAGAGACAATGGCTGAAATGATGTAATGTAAGCTAGATGTTTTAGCAGAACCTTGTAAGTATCTGAGACAGATTGTGATGTCTGGGTTGTAATATATGTTTGGCTGTATGGTTTGATAAGCTATTGATTATTCATAAAACCATCTGATGCCATTGTGCAGAGTCTACGATACCCTTGTTAAGGTCGCTCCCGGGGGTCCGGTGGTGAGGTTCACCGGACGTCGTGACCACAAGAACCCAAAGAGTCGTAGCTCCCTTTGAATTCAGATATCATCTGGCCATGAGATGCAACCAGGGTCTGCTGGGGTCTGCTTAGTCTTAGAAAGGGGGGCTGTCTTATAATTGGGGTCGTTCTATATTCGGGTCAATACGGTAATTTGATAACTTGTTAAACTACATCAAACAAACAGCCAGATGTATTTTCGAAACCCAGACATCTGTGACAGACCTTTCTGAGCCACTTAGTGAAGCTCTTAAAACACACCAGGTCATGTTTCATCAGAGTTCATTCGTTGTCTCATTTAATATCACTTTGAATCACCATTTATAATCATTTGCCTTTAATATAGTAATAAATAGATTTTTATAAAATATAATTTTGTCTCTGTGTCAAATTATTAAGTGTTGTTTCCCTGGCGTACCCAAAGTACCTCGTTTCATCATCAATCGAATGTTAAAGGCTCAGTAATATTGATAATCCATATTTAATGGAATATTACATTATAATGAATACCTTTATATTATTTTGACTATTTATTAAAAGTAACCACTTACGAAACATTACAATATATATAACAATATGATATAATAACAATAGTAGCTACAGCTCACCTCGACGCTAGTTAAGCAGTTAAACTACTAATCAAACAACTGGTCCTAACACTGAAGCAGTCACACATGAAAGCAGGTCAGGGGTGGAAAAAGGTTTTTTGTCGCGGAAAGTGACTTTGCGGACCTTAAAACTCCGGTTTTGTCTGTCCACACGCAGACACCCAAAACGGAGAAAACGCAGATCTTCACTTTGGCCGGAGTTTTTAAAAAGATCCGTTTTCGTGTGAAAAAACTCCGTTTTCGTGTGGATGACAGGCCAAAACGTAGAAAAATATCTACGTTTTGGCAGATCCCCGGCTACGTGTGGACAGGGCCTTAATTGGGGAAAGGAGCCACTGCAAGCCTTAATTATCCCATTCTAACAAGTGAAGGCTTGAAATATCTGACTTTGCATGTAATAGGTCAGTCTCATAGATTTGCTTTAGTTTTGAATTACTGAAATACATGAACTTTTGTACAATATTCTCATTTTGTGACTTTCACCTGTAATTTCACCAAAAAAGAAAAAAAAACAATGCCCTGATCAAAGCAAACACAGCAAGTGACACACACACACACACACACACACACACACACACACACACACACACACACACACACACACTCCCCAGCAACTTAACCTGCTACCAATGACAGTACCAGTAATTGTTGGTCTGGAGGTCTCCCACAGAGAGTAGACGTCATCTCCTGCATTCCAGTGGTTTTTAACAGGTTGTTAAATATATTTAAATTATTGTTTTTAAATTAAAAACTTAAACAAGTTATGGTTTAAAAACTAAATCAATTATCAATGAAATAAGATCATTATAATAAAAAATAACATGAAATAACATGATTAGCCTGGTTCGTTCATTTGATTGAATGTTCTCATTTCAGAGATGTGATGAAGCATGATGCATGACACTTTTTTATTACAGGTAATCAGTGTTGGGTACGTTACTTTATAAAAGTAATTAGTTATAGTCAAGGGTGGACTGGGACCAAAATTCAGCCCTGGAATTTTCTCTTCAGACCAGCCCACTACATTAGCCGCGGACACTACATAGAAGTCGGCACATTTTTCAGCGTCTCCTCCCTGTATACTACAAACGATAGTCATATTCTGTGATAGCTAACAAATAAAGAATACATCTTTAAGGGAAAATTAATTAGTTGCCCTCAGCCACCCCTGCTTTCCACCGGAGCCAGAGGGAAAATAACTAGAATGGAGACGAAATGGATGGAAATATCTGAATTTTTCTAAATGGATGGTGAGTTTAATTAATTTTTTTTTTTTTTTTTTTACTTTTTCTGCTTCATGTTAGCCTGTGATTATCAGAAGTGTTGGGAACAGGACAACTGCATTAAAAACACCACGGTCGTGCTCCCCCCCCCTCAAGTTTCTCCTCCAGCCTCGGGTGGCAGGAGAAGGAGAAACTGTGACAGAAGGGGGAAAGTGACAGGCAGCGGGACAGTTCGACACACTTCTCCTCCATGATGCAACAAATGATAAATCAGTTGGATCGTCCTGCATTGCCTAGGGTTAGTTCTGATGATAATCCACAGAGTTTGAACATTAAATCGCTCCACCACGTCCACGGAGGACCTGTGAAATACCAGGTAAAGGAGCAGAGCAGGGGGCTGTTACCACAAATCTGCTTCATAAATAAATAAATAAATGTGTCTGATCGCCATACGTTGAGTAAAATAATAAGTTTGGATTCCGTGCAGAGCATTAAAATGATAATTTCTGATCTGCATGGGTGCTGCCGCGCTGCATTTGCGGCTGATGCACCTCTCATAAGCGGCCAGTAGGCAGGGGCAAGCAGCAGAATACACGAGAATGTGCTGCCCAGTAACACGCTGCTGATAGGTCCAGTCCGATGGAAAGGGGGGTCACACTCACTGTTAAAACTATGGGCTCTTTAGAATGTTGTGATGTCACATGAAACCAACCTATTCTGCATACATATTTTAACTAAATCAATCCAAATACCAACACTCACGGCCTCTTTAGCTCATATTACATGATGATGGCTATAGATATAAAACGTTTTCTACTTGTTATTGAACACACACATCATGTTGCAAAATGTAACCTAGCCAGCCCCGTGTTAATGCTACTTACTCTATGTGTCGCCCATGGCGTTGCCCCTTCTCCTGGCGCACCAGCAGCACCTGCTGGGGTGGTGACTAAGGCTGGCCCAGGACCAAATAAGTCTGTCAACTTTGAACACTTAGCAGCTCCCACCTCTAGAGACTTGAATCTTTTTCGCCGCAACTTTTCTGCGCCACCCAAACGTTTCTTCGACCTCTGCATTTTCACATCAACAGTCCGACCGCGGCACTGTCCAACCACTCCCACCGGCAAGCAATGAGGTCCCGCCCACCCTGGTTTGTGCTGCCTGTGATTGACAGCCCTGTCCCAACGCCCTGAACCAGTCAGCCCATGACAATGAGAAACAGACCACATTGCTAGCGCTCAGTAACCTATTGGCCAGCCCAATTTGTAAGAAATCTGAGGGCGAGAGAGAAAGACGAACGAAAGGAATGGATGAATGAATTAAATAATTAATAAATGTCAGACCGGCCCGGCGGCCCTACCCACATTGGGTTCGTCGGCCCACCGGGACGGCTCCCGGTGCGCCAGATATTCAGTCCACCCCTGGTTATAGTTACAGATAACTTGGTCAAAAAAGTTACTTAGTTACTTACAGAGTTACAATTTTTTAAGTAACTGATTACCAAGAAAAATAACTGTTTTGTTACTTTTTTTTCATTAAAGATTGCAAGAAAAATGGGTTCCCCTCAGTAACCACAAACCACAGTAAACACTAGGCTGAGCTCAGATTGGACAGGTAATAAAGACATGCCATCAAGGGAGCCATCTGCCTCGACAGCAGCAGATCCATGGCAGCAGCCAAGACACCAATCCAGGGCGCCCTGGGAGGGAGGGTGGCAACCCCCACCACTACCTGGGCACTACCCAAGGAGCGCCCCAGCCTCCGCCACCGACCACCGGTCCCGAGGCAGAGGGCTCCACAGAGGTAACACTGGAAGTATTAAAATACGTAACATGTAAAATCACAAGAGCTAATACGGAAAATATGTAAAATGTATGATGTAAAATATCCAATAAAATGTGATTATACAAATAAAACAACATAAACGTGAAACACAACAGTAATTAAAATAAATAAATAAGTGACATAAGCAATGCAATAAATAGTAATCAGTTAAAAGCTAAACTAAAAAGGTGGGTCTTGAGCCTGTTCTTAAAAACATGAACGTTCTCTGCGACCCTGAGATCCTCCGGCAGCACGTTCCAGAGGCGAGGGCCGTAACAACTAAAAGATGCCTCGCCGTGTGTGTCCTGACTTTAGGAATGACAAGGAGACGCCTGCCAGAGGAGCACAGGGACCGCAAGGGTTCATATGGTAAAAGCAGTTGTGAGAGATAAGACGGGCCAAGACCATTAAGACACTTAAAAACCATTAAAAGTATCTTAAAATCGATCCTGAAAAATACGGGGAGCCAATGCAGTGGTTCTAAAACTGGGGTGATGTGCTCCCGCTTCCTGGTCTTCGTCAGGACACGAGCTGCTGAGTTTTGTAATAGTTGTAGACCTGAAGTGCTTTTTTTAGGAAGACCAGAAAGCAGGGCATTGCAATAGCCAATTCTACTGGTGATAAAAGCATGCATCAGCGTCTCCGTATTGGCCCGAGAGAGAATGGGGCGGACTCTGGCGATGTTCTTGAGATGATAAAAACCTATTTTAGTAATGTTTTTAATGTGGGGGATAAAAGTCAGCTCAGAGTCAAAAATCACACGGAGTAATAAACAGGTTTAACCAAGAATAAGAATTAGCTTACTTATCACTTATTAATTAAATTCAGTTGCTTTATTTAGCATTAGTTAGCAGTTAGTCTTCTGAAAGCGCTATACAAAAAGAAACCAACTGAAAAACAATCAGGTATAATGTCATCAAAGTATTTTTTAGTATGCAACGTTTAAAACTACAATAGTTCTTACAACTCTGTTCATGTGCTGGACGGACTGTCGTTGAGGGCTTATTTTAAAACCATTGTACTGAATAGAAGTGAATGAGTGTTTTTTTGGTGGCGAGAGAAAGCAGAGTCATGTTTCCTAGTTTTAAATGAGAAATCAAGTCCTTGGTGCAGAAAAGCAAACTGCATGTCCATTCAACAAATGGATGTGCACATCTTGGCCAGGAACACTGCTGTAGGTGGTAGAGCCAGAGATATGCTGGTGGTGGTGGTTGTTGGAGGGACTGGTGAGGCTAGCGCTCAGTAGCCTGGCTTCTCAGGGCAGCTGTGGCTACACTGTAGCTCCTCATGAGCAGAGTGTAAATGTGTGTGTAAATGGTTGATGATTGTGTTGTGAGGTGTCTTGGCGAGCTGTAGAACCATAAGAAGGTGCAAATACAGGCCAGTTACCATTTACCACTGCTGGGAAGAAGTTCTTCCTTTTTTCTGAAAAACACATGGTCAAACATAGCAAATAAAGAGTTTTGTTACATGATGTGCTGTTTCTGGAAATATAAATAAAGTCACTATACCTGGTTTTCTATTGGTTTTTCATTTTTGATGAGTCTTCAGAGATGCTTCTACATGTCCTAACAATACCCAAATCTGCTGTATAAAAGCAACAAAGTTGATTGTGACCCCAAAATTCCACTATCTCCGCTCCGCCCCCGCTTTCCGCCGCCGCTCGCTTCCGAACTCAAATTATACTATACCCGCTCTACAACGGCTCTGCCCCAGTGCGGAGACCTGAGGTGCGCAAACAGGCATGCGTGGGATTTTCGAGATCTCGCGATACAGTCCGAACAATAAATGCGGAAGTTAGATCCAAACAAATCATTGTGTGGGAGAAGCATTGAACTGTTTAATCTGTCTATCATTTGTGTTAAGATATCAGCACGTGTTTGGACCAACAAAGGGTGACTACTTTAATAGTAGAAACTATTTATGGCTTATTTTTGTGCATTTAAAGTTCAACCGCCATTGATAGTTGTTAAACGTTGTTAAACCTGTGCATATGAAACAAAACAAAAAAACGCTTTTTGTTTATCGATTTATTGTGAAATAACGCAAGTTGTGCTTGCTCCCTTTCCTGTTGGGCGGTTGTGATTTCAGTCCATTGACTGCGGAGGTGCTCCCGGCGCCTGGCAAAAATAGAATCGATCCTATTTTTGCCGGATGGCAGAACGGCACTGCGCCGCACGGCCGCAGCAGTGGAACAGCTCTGATTGACACAACGGGACCGTTTTTGCTGTGGAGTTCGTGCCGGAGCGGAGCGGAGTTAGTGGAATTTTGGGGTAATAGTTTCACTAGGTCAGGCATCTGGATGAATTGTCTTACATGGGGTTGTTAATATTTAAAACCTTTTGATGTACAGCTGCTTTTCACTTTAGATCCACTGTCATTCCAGAAAAGAGAAAAAAAAATACAGTATTGATAAGAGTGTAAATTTTTAGGACAAATAAAATTAGAAGCAGAAAAATCACATAACTTTGTAGTTTTTGTTCTGCTTGGAAATAGTTTTCTGTGTCAGAAGGCAGATGCTTCCTTCATGGAATCACTGGATATCAGTAAAGAAGTAAAAATATATACTGTGTTAGTTGTCACAGTGAGCAAGTTAATTACTATAGATGTATGCCTACTCAAAAATGATTAAAAATTGTGTAGCACCTCTTCCTCTGTCCGGTGGCATTGTGGAAAAAGAGCAATAAGGCATAAGTTGAATAATTAGCAGCATTTAGTAGTGACTGTAATTGTTTAGTACTCAACAACACTGGTGTCATCCATTTTTTACGAGTTGGCATCTGAAACGCAAAAGGAGCCTGTTACGTCATTTCTTGCTCGGAAATTTCGAGTTCCAAGGACAAGCGGAACGCATGATTAGCTACGCAACATAGACATCAGCTAACGAACACATTAGAAAGGCCTGTTTCATTTGCAGCCAAGCTCAATAGTTAATTAGGCAACCGATACATGAGCCAAAGAAAAGATAAATACGTCTCACGTTGACAAGGCCGACACATAACTACGTTAAGTAAGCTAGCTGCAAGCATCTCACCTTGATCACATGTTGCATTGTGGACTACAAACACAAGCTCAATACATCAACCCGCACATGAATCACTAGCACACGATCTGTACACCATTCACAGAGAGCATATCGCATCAACCACGTGTTGCACAAACACTTGCGCATAAAGAAACCCAAACATAACTTCCAACATTAGCTGATAAAAAGGCAAACAGGGAGTGAAAACAGGTTGTCTTACCTCCGCTGAAGTGCAGATTAAGACTGCAGTGGTGTTAAAGCTTAAATATGATGAAGTTGTGAAACAGTTGCAATCTGGGAAAATTAGCATTCTGGGAAATGTCGTTCATGTTTTTATTTTAATTTTTTGTTTGTTTTTTTGCCAATACCGTAGTCATGGTGACTGCAAATGCTAAGATACATAAGAGCACACTTTTCATGACCGAGCCGGTTGATTTGATGTAAGATTTGTGGGGGTTCACACTTTCATTTGAACTGAATTAAGGTATAGGAAAAAATAATAATAATAAAAATAAAGAGACTATTTGGTCGGTGCAAAGAAGTAAGGGCCCTGCCTTTTCGGCAGACTTGTTACCAACTAATATTCAGATGATGTTGCTAAGGAGAGTGAGTGGTTACATGTTGAAAAGAACTGATGTTTTTAAAATACCTAGATTTAGAACCAAACTTTGTAGTATTTCCGTATATGGTGTAAGATTATGGAATAACCTTAACAGGGAAATAAAGGAATCAAAATTACTTACATTTAGAAAACGTGCTAAACAAAGTGTATTAAGTAATTATGAAAAGGTAAACTAAACTAAGATATATGATTACATCTAGAAAATTAGAACGTATTTGGCTAAAAATTGTGTGCATAAACAATTAAAATTTAGCGATTGTTCATTTCTTTCTGTAAAAAGGGGAAGGAATTATATGACTTTTTTCATCATTCTGTTACTTTTCATTTAAAATTGTATGCTGTTTCGTATAGGCATACTTAGTTGTTTTTTATTGTTTATTTTTTTAATGAAATAAGTGTTAAATAAAAAAGCTTAAAAATAATTCAGTGTGAAATTGCATCCGTTTTCAGTTGTTTTAAAAGCAGTTTGAGTAATTTAGTATTTTTTTTACTGTTTTTTTTATGTCATGCTTTTATTTCTTTTATTGTGAGTCTTATTCTGTGCATTATAGCAAATTGCTTTGTTTTTATTGTATTTGCATTTGTTTTTGGCTTGTTAAGCACTTTGGTCAGCGTTCATGCTGCTGTATAGGGGTATATAAATAAAGCTGACTTGACACAATGTGTAAATTAGTTCATACAGAAGACATGTACAGACCTGTGCGTAAGTACGGTTGATAAATGAGGCCCCAGATGTTTTTGCTTTAGGACCTAAGAAGCCCTTACAATACCACTGCATATTCTAGAATACATGTTGTACCTCACTCTAAATGAAAAGTAAGCATTCTCTAAGAAGTACATGTATTTCAGTAAAAGACACTCTGAAATACAAACACATTTTTGGGGACAAGTATTTGTTGTACATTACAAATATGTGTTCTACAGTACAAGTAGACATAGTCTTCAGAGGCTAAAATATTAAAGTAACAGGTGGGTCTTACAGTATTGAATGGGCCCTACAGTAACAGGTTGGCCCTACAGTAACAGGTTGGCCCTACAGTAGTAGGTGGGTCCTATATTAGCAGGTGGGGCCTACAGTAAGATGCAGTGCCTAAAGTAGCAGGTGATTCCTACAGTTACAGGTTGGCCCTACAGTAGCAGATGGGCCCTACAGTAGCAGGTGGGTCCTACAGTAGCAGGTGGGGCCTACAGCAAGATGCAGTGCCTAAAGTAGCAGGTGGTTCCTACAGTTACATGTTGGCCCTACAGTAGCAGATGGGCCCTAAAGTAACAGATGGGTGCTACAGTAGCAGGCGGGGCCTACAGTAAGATGTGGTTCCTAAAGTAGCAGGTGGCTCCTACAGTAGCAGACAGATCCTACAGTAACAGCTTGGCCCTACAGTAGTAGGTGGGGCCTACAGTAGCAGGAGGGTCCTACAGTATACATTACTCAAGTGTCCTGTAGAGGAGTTGTAGTCAAATGCGTCAACACTCAGAGCCAAACTGTCAATGTAGAAAAAGGTTTTCTGGTCTAGAGACCATTCCAATCCATTAGATATGTCCACCTGAGAGTGACACACATTCACAGGTAACAGTCAACAGTTATGGACCACAGGTAGACAACTGCAGGTAGACTTGTTAAACATTCACAGGTAGATGGGTTAAACAGGTAACCATGTAAAGGGGTACCATGTAGACAGGTTTAGGAAGTTGCATACAGTGGATGAAGGAGTGGACAGGTGAAGTTACCTCGCTCAGGTGTTTAGTCACAAGGTATTCAGAATTCACAGAGTAGAGGGATCCCTGCTTTTTCTGAACTTGGGCTGGCTGCTCCTCCTTCCCCATTGTACCTGAGACACAGAATATGGAAACATTGAAACAAAGGTAGCAAGTGATCAAAGGGACAGGTAAACAGATAAAAAGTCTTACCTGCCAGCAGACGACCCATAGGGTCCACCTTCCCATCATTCAGACGGTTGTTCGGTTTGTCCTCGTCAATGTCCACCAGTGATGTCATAACCTCAGTGGACCAATCAATAGCCACAATGCTGCGACCTACCCCTGCAACATAACCACTTGACTTGCGAGGAACTGCAAAGCCCACAGTGTCGTCTAAGGGGGAGACTTGAGTGAGGAAATGCCCAGATGATGAAGAATCAGGTGAGACAGGTGAATCACTAACCTGTCTCTATTGACTGGATTTGACAGGTTGTTGGACTCCAGCGATGAATTTTCTGACCGGCAATGTCAACAAAAAGGAGTGTCTGCTCTGACTCCTCCCACACAGGCCCTTCACCAATTAGAGCACTCACCTTCACCACAGACTCTACCTTCACCGATGACATCATCAACTGCCACACAGTCACTCTGGAAACAGAAAAATTTTTTTTACCCACGCATGATAAATGACCTACAACAGATTAGAACCTCTGAACCAGAGGACTCCAAAGTGCTTTACACTACAGCTATTCATTCACCTCTTGTGGCAATGAGCTACATTGAAACCAGAGATGTAGAAAGAGAGAGTTGCGACACTCCAATAGACTTCTACGGAAAGAATGGAATGTGGAAGTCACGTGGTTCATGTAGCTTCGAATAGTTCCAAACAGCCACCGCTGCTGCATTGACCGCAGTTCATTTTCGGTGTTTCGGAAGGATTTTCTCCGGTAAGTTGATGAAATGTCATCATTTTCTTGCATTGTGAAGCGTTAGCTAACCACTTTGTACCAAAATAAGCCAACGATGATATTTTATGTTGCCAGTTTTGGCTAGATAACCTTTGATGAGCTAATTGTGTGCAGTTTGCTGATTGTGAGCAGGAGGGTTTAGACAAGCTTGTCGAGCTGTTGACGGGTTTATTTCAGTTTGTTTGATTCTACGTTTTAAAAATATTCCCCACAGTTTGAAATAGGTAATAAACTTTTTACATTATTAGTTTTATTTGTTTTTTTTTTTTGTAAAATATGTTGCTGGTTGCTGTATCAACACAAACATGCATCAGAAATGGAAGCACAAATGGAGAGACCAATAATAAAGAAAAATGTGATTGTGAAGACAAGTAATTATTTAGTATTTTTCAGTTAACACTGACTGCAACGAACTGCTGAAGCATGAGATAAACAGGATTACAAATGTAAGAAGATATGTTGTTCTGTTTTGTGTACTCAAGTAATAAGAATAGAATTACAATATTTCAAGAACAGTAGTCGAACAACAACTTTTAAAAATGAGATATTTTCCATAAAACTGCTCATTTCCACTTGCTTTATAATATCAGCATTTGCAATTTTGTTAAGGAATGACAAGAAATAAGAATTAACAATAACACAACTATCAATAAATAAATGTCAAAGAGTAACTAAAACAAAAATTTTATGTAACCATTAAAGGTTAAACTGTGTTGTGTGTCCATTTTCCTGTTTTCATATGGGCCATTCCCATCTGTACCTGGTCGGCCCGGCCCGGATAGCATAGCTTGCTTACATATCTTGGTGGCCTGCCTTTTTTCAGGGTGCAACAAGACTGTTTTTCAGCCCTCTTTCTGAGGGGGTCTGCTTCAGGCTGACCAGGGTCAACGCACCCACTGCTGACAGCAAATTCACACCTTCCATTAGAGCAAGCCTCTGATTGGTGGGTAGAATCAGCCCACATTGGGCTTGCTCAATTCATTATCCTTCATTATCATGCTGATTACCTAGAAGCTGAAAATGCCTCTGACTGCATTTCTTGCATACCTAAGCAAGGATGTGTGGAATCAACCGGGCCAGGCTGGGGCCGACTGGAGCTATCCGGGCAGGGCCGACCAGGTACAGATGGGAATGGCCCAATAGTGGCTGAGCGGAGAGCTGACCAGAAACAACGGTGGTGGCAAATCCCAGTTTGGTGTGTGATGGAGTGATGCATGCCTGGAGTGATTGCCATCTCATCCACAGTAAGCACACACTCTCTTTACATCTCTGTAAGAATTTTAACCTTCAAACTGAGCATGTCACACACCTCTCCCAACACACCTGGTTCCAGCTTAATGGGCTGTATTTGTCTTTGCAGGGTTCCAACATCAGGCAGAGGGATACTCTTGTCCTGAAGAAACCTGCAGCCTGTTGAACCCACTGAAAAACGGAGTTGTACGGCCTTTTTGATCGTCTGTTTACTCCATTTAATGCCTCTTGTGTTTTTCATGCCAATTGCCTTCAATTGATCTTTAGTAAAAATATGGCCTATTTTTTTTTCCCCATGTTGAAAACTTTCTTTCGCTGGACTGAATTAATTTTTGTCTGTGTTTTAAGCGCCCTTTCCAATCTTCTAATGTGTTCTTTTTGATTTTCTATTTCATCCCTTAGGTTTTCCAGCTGGGTTCCCTGGTTGCATGGCCTGTTCCTTCCTCCTCCTGGCCCTGACGCCGGCTCCTCATGGCTTCCTGGGATGTCCCCCTCTCCAGATACCATCTCATGTCCCCCCTCACTTTCCCTCATCTCATTTGCCTCACTGCTGCAACTGCTTTCCTCATTCTCTGAATTTATAACGGCACTGTTAGAATAAAGAATAATTTTTAAATAAAATAAATACAAATGTCTAATATTTCAAAAGATTCGTACCACAGTTTACTTGAGTACAATATGTGTGGTCACTGGTCAGTGGATCAACATGCAGTGGTTCTGCTGTACTTCTCACTGCGGGATCCTTCCTCCTCCTTGGTTCAGGGCGATGAACGAACAGGGCTGGAACAGCATCAGCCCTGAGTCTCACCTTGCCTTGCCTGGTCTAGTGAACTGTCCCTCCTCAAAATGTGCCTGTAAAGTGGTGTATTGGTTTATTTCCTGCCACATTTAACAGTTTTATTGTAGCCTTGTGCAGTTGAGAGCAAAACATGTAGAGCCTTGATAGAAAACGTTTGAGAGTACACATTAAACTCACTGCACACAGCTTTTTGTTATTGTGATCTCTGGTCATGGTGAGGTTGCTCCTGCTGACTTGAGCCAACCATTTTCTTCTTCTCTCTGCGTCTTTGGGGACGCCATTAATCTGATTCCTCCCTCAGACCTCAGTCAACCATGGTAAGATAATCAACCTATGAAGGTATTATTAAAATACAGTTTTTGTTCATACTGTATAGAAATATTGAACTGAACCAACAATATAGAGATGTAAAATTACATTTTAAAATTTTATCCAACCCTAAAATTAGTCATTTCAAATTTTAACCCACAGACACGTTTTATTTTAATAATAATCAAAATAAAGTTATTCAAAAGAGTTTTATTAGGTCTTGAGTACATTGCTCAAATTTATTGATTCAGCTTATTTGTGCATATGTAATGACTAAACATAATGTTGGTAAAATGCTTTATTTAAAATGCTATTATACATGTTGTACAAGTTTGTATTCATTTTTTCAAAATTAACACACTTTTTAAATTTACTGTGTTTGACCATACAGTTTTATTGACATTTTCTTTTTAATTAGTTGCTATTAGTCAGGCTATAGAAGCCAGATAAACTGGGTTATAGATGCATGTACTGTCTTCACATAAAAATATAAAGTAATGACTGTAAAATGTATTCTACTGAACATAATAGATCATCATTCAAAGCATAAACAGCTACATATTTTCTTCAAGGTAAGCTGGAGCAGAATTCTAGCTTTCAATAAACACTTTAAAATGGATATTACAACTCGACTTTAGGGCTTCTTGTAAGACTTAAAATTATTAAATATGCTTATATAAGAGCAGTGTGTTGCATTACTACATCAAATTTATTGCTTTAATATATTATATATATATATATATATATTAGGGCTGCAGCTATCGAATATTTTTGTAATCGAGTACTCTAATAAATTACCCTTTTGTGTTTGTAAACCATTATATCAAATAGCATGTTATAAAATATGAAAGACCTCTTAAAATGAGCAAGCAATTGCCAGTTATTCTTCAAGTTTTATTCAAAATTAGTTTTCAAAACTTCAGCACTTCAACTTTACTTCACAGTAAACAAATGCCTGTGCAAAAAATAAGTATACAACCTGGGCCGACTTTCCCCTCGTGCGAGAATCTAATAGCCCGGAAAGCCAGACAAAAACTAGGAGGATAACTGTTGAAGTAGTGCTGCGAGCGGCTGCAAACATCTCGCCAGCTATTTCCCTATTAACACACGTCCGTTTTAATTTCTACACTTTTTCTCACACAATAACAAGGATTGTCGAGAAAGCATGCTTGCTGTGGTTTTGTCAAATTATACTGATCACAAAACATTTATGTACTTTCTTTCGTTTTCCTCCGCCACTCATAAACACCTGTGTCCTCCTGCAGCAATCCTGAGGGACAACGGACATCAATAACAACACAGTAAAAAGTCCGACGTGTTGTAAAAACGGCTATTTTTACCACATTTGAAGTCCCACGTGTTGCTACCAGACGACAGTGTGAGCTGAAACCAAGTACTCGTCTCGTCTCGTCTTCCTCCGCTTATCCGGGTCCGGGTCGCGGGGGCAGCATCCCAACTAGGGAGCTCCAGGCCGTCCTCTCCCCGGCCTTGTCCACCAGCTCCTCCGGCAGGACCCCAAGGCGTTCCCGGACCAGATTGGAGATGTAACCTCTCCAACGTGTCCTGGGTCGACCCGGGGGCCTTCTGCCGGCAGGACATGCCCGAAACACCTCCCCGGGGAGGCGTCCAGGAGGCATCCTGACCAGATGCCCAAACCACCTCAACTGGCTCCTTTCGATCCGGAGGAGCAGCGGTTCTACTCCGAGTCCCTCCCGAATGTCCGAGCTCCTCACCCTATCTCTAAGGCTGAGCCCGGCCACCCTACGGAGGAAACTCATTTCGGCCGCTTGTATCCGCAATCTCGTTCTTTCGGTCATTACCCAAAGCTCATGACCATAGGTGAGGATTGGGACGTAGATCGACCGGTAAATCGAGAGCCTGGCTTTCTGGCTCAGCTCCCTCTTCCCCACGACAGATCGGCTCAGCGTCCGCATCACTGCAGACGCCAAACCAATCCGCCTGTCGATCTCCCGATCCCTCCTACCCTCACTCGTGAACAAGACCCCGAGATACTTAAACTCCTCCACTTGAGGTAGGACCTCTCCCCCGACCCGGAGGTGGCAAGCCACCCTTTTCCGGTCGAGAACCATGGTCTCAGATTTGGAGGTGCTGATCCTCATCCCAGCCGCTTCACATTCGGCCGCGAACCTACCCAGCAAGAGCTGAAGGTCAGAGCTGGATGAAGCTAGGAGGACCACATCATCCGCAAAAAGCAGAGATGAGATTCTCCTGCCACCAAACTCGACACACTCCACACCACGGCTGCGTCTAGAAATTCTGTCCATAAAGGTAATGAACAGGACCGGTGACAAAGGGCAGCC